AAGAAACTGACTCAGAAACAGAGTAAAGAGAGGTTTTATGAGGGGAGATGGGAGCAGCTGTGCACCTGATCACGTCTCTATTCATCTAGAATCCGTAAGACCAGAAAACTAAGTTGCATTCTTATTGTCCTATTTTATTAAAACAAAACAAAGGAAAATGACAAATCTAAAGGTTAATTTTATACTTACACACATACACACACACTTTGAGTAAACACTCTGCTTAATGACATTTACGAACCAGCTATGCTGGTCACAGGTCACTCTGCAATCCAGTGATTAGACTGGTAAGATGGGCTTATTGAGCTGCTTCCCTGGTTCACCATGACCAAGGGGTGGGTGCTGAAGAGAGAAGAGAAGAGGGAGGGGAATGTAACAACAGTGTTCTATGCTGGCGCTCAAATAGAAAATGGCACCCAGATACAACGGCGAGAATCTTTTTTGCATATATCTTCGTAATCAATACAATTTTTCAGAACAACAAGAGAGATAAAAAATAAGAAATACAATGTTCCGAACAGTTACAGCCCATAGATCAACATTACAAACTAGGTCTAGGTCATCTGTAGGCATTTGTAAGAGAACTGAGGTGCAGAGGCATCGGAATGAGTTGACTCCCAGCATGAGTGTTGAGAGGGTACAGACTGTCTAAAAATAAACTGCTACTTGTTAAGTACGTCTGGTGCTTGCATACAGTGTCCAGGACATAGGGAAGATAAGAAGTCATTACTGGTTTTTGTACATGCTGTGTGGTAGAGGCTACTACAGATTTCTTTATTTTCTAAAGTAGGCAAGGCTCATAAATGGACCAGTTCACATTGTGGTTACTTGGTACAATGCATGCATGTTATTGGTACAGAAGAGTGCTTTAATGGTCATTTAAAGGTCATTTTTACGTCAAAGGACTATTATCCTTCCAGTTACTTATTCATTCAACAAATACTTATACAAAACCTTGTGCCATCTAATCCATTCGCTTCCCAGGAAGACCAACACCAGAAAATGGGTAAAAGGAGATTCTTTATGGGGCACAGCATGGACGACTAACATTAAGACAGTTGGTACACAGCAACGGCACAATCCTAAAGACTCATCGTACGCTGCCTCCACCTCATTACCGACCTCCTGGAATCCAGACCACTAGGGTGTTAGTGAGCTGACTCGAGAGGAAGAGCAATTCTCTATGCAATCAGACTTAACTCAAGGAAGAGCATGACTATTCTGACTCACTTGGGATGCAGGAGGAGAGAATAATATGAGGTGGAATTATTCTTATCTGTAAAGTTTAGCAGATGGAAGAAAAACATGTCATTGGTTTCACTGTGGAAAAAGCAGTTGGTCTCTTCCCCTGGGGGTGGTAGGCAAAGTAAGCCCAGCTCTCCACCTACACCCTTTCTAAGACCCACACCGTGGGCATAATTGCTTTTTAAGAAGCTAAGCTGCAGGCTAACTCAAGATGTCACAGAATTCAAGACCTAAACTGTAATCACTTATTAGTCATATTTTCCATTTTCAGTTCATTTGAGGGTAAAAATATCACAAGGGGAATAAAATTGCTTTTCTCACTGTGTAGGCCATTCTTGTATTTTGTGTGCAAAAAGCCTACATAATCACATTCTCTTATTATAAAAATTAGTACTTCTCATAGTAAACACACCCCCTAAAACTATAGCTTCAGTTTCAGAATTAGCAACCCAATTAGATCAAATTAACACTGCATCAACAATATTCCTGCAAGCATCTCCAAGGTATTCCAGAGATTAGATGTTGAGTCTATTATTCTAATGATGGTGGGAAGGGGGGCTGGAGAGTGACGCTTTTGTTCAACCAAATGGCCGTTGTACGGAGCACTAAAAAATTGAGCTACATTTTCAGGATAAAAAGGTCAGACTGGTTTTGTGATACACCATCCCAGGGCTCTGTACCATTAAAAGAAAAGTCCTTTGAGTCAGGAGGGAATGTGGGGAATGGCTTTCCAGTCTTGGTTTTTATGACCTATGTAGCCAACGTATCTTTGTACAAAGAGCACTAAACCGGACTATTGCACTGGAGGAAATGTAGCTAAGTCACATGGAATACAGGGGTATTTACCTTGAGTAACTAAAGTGTTATTTCACCTCTGTGTGGCTCAGAGTCCCCATCTGCATAGTGGAGAGAACAGGGGCTGCCTCTGACCCGCTGGGACCAGGGGAGTAGTGGGTGACAGAGAACTAGAAAGCACTGTAGCCTTTTCTGGAGAAAGGCAGTGTTCAGGTAACAAAGTACTCCAAAAAGAGCACAAAATTCAAGTTCTGAGTCAGGGGTGCTTGTGTTCTAGCTTTTGAGCTGCAGACTCCTAGAGAACAGAGGCCTTGCTGCGTCTGCCATGGAGAGCAGGTAGGTTAGAGAGCTGCGTGGCGGAGTAGGAAGAGCTCCACGTAGAGCCCATCAAGTCATCCACAGCACTGAGGACCAAAGCTCGCCTGGAAAGGAGAAAAGGAACCTCGGGAGAAGCTTAGTGGATTAGCAAGCTCTTCAGAGCAATTGCTTAATGCATATCCATGCGTGTTCTCTGCATAAGATCTTCAAGTTGGTTATCAACCTTAATTTCAACAGTTTTCCTCATTTTCCAGGTAGAAAAAGTTAAAGAAAGCTATCTAGATTTTCCTCCTGCATTTTATCATAAGAATAAAAAACAATTTTGAGACTGGTTGAGGGAAAACTTACAGCCACCAGCATCCCCACAGTAGGACAGAAATAGGGAAATGTGCACATTTTTTGCAATTAACTAACTTTTTTTTTGCAATTTTTGCAATTAATAACTTACTTTGACAGTTTCTGTTCTCCCAAGCTAGTGGGTACACGCTTGAGTATTAAAAACACTCAGAGAATTGGAAGCGGGGGGGCACCTGTCACAGGGATCCTGAAGGCCCACAGAACAGGAAGAAGGAAGAGGGTTTAACAGTCTAGATACATAGTCTTTTCTAAACAGCTCACAATGAAAAATGGAAACACTTTACACTTTAAAATCACAATATTTATTTTGCTGTTAAAATCCACTTCCTCAGTTCTCAAGTGGATGTCACCAACTGCCCCGTGGGAAAACACCTCTATTCCAGCTCCCATTATAAAACTTTCCATTCCTGTTTTATGCATGGTTGCTCATCTCTAAAACTATCTATTTGTTTTCATAGGACAATTAAACTCATTTGGATCCGTGCAGCTGTAACCCTTATACCACCATAAAAAGGTACATCAAGACAGAGTTCCTGGAAGACATCATCGTTTCTTAGTGCCACCGTTTCCGCCGCCAGGTTTGCTGAAGCTCCTGCTCATCTGAGGGAAGTGCACAGTTGGCGTTCTTTCCGTGGGACCGTATAACCCCAAATTCCTGGCAGTGGCTGACTTCCGGAGTGGCTTGACACTGGGAAAGGGACTAAAGATGGGAGTTTTAGGGTTGCTGCTTTGGGGAGGTTTGCTGGTGGCTTTGTTTCCTCCAGGTGCGTCAGGAGGCTCTGGGAAGTACCGTCGGCCGGGTGGGTACACCCTGGGCTCAGTTTCAGCAGCAGCATCACTTTGGTTCAGTTCCAAGCCTTCCAACTTCACCTGAACTTCAGCTACGCTGGCGTCAGTATCCCCAAACACCGGCTCCGGGGACCGCCCTTCAATTGTCCTCCCGGTGCTGCCCTCTGAGCTGCTGCCTTCTCTCCGAGCTGTCGCTGCTGTTTCCCTGGAGGAAAACGCCCCTGCTACCTCCAGACTGCTAGTTTTGCAGCCCTCGTTCTGCTCCTCTATCAGCCCGATGGTGTCCCCACAGCCCAGCTGGCTCTTGGTCCTCGGCATGGTCTTTTTGTGGACTCGGATGTGAGTTCGCCATGGAGAGTTGAGCTTCGTCTTAAGGTCTTCATAGGAGACGGGGGAGAGTCTGGCTCCTGTGTGACCAGGGATGTGGATGACAGCATTCTTGGCAGCTCTGTTAGTCATCTTCATCTGCTTCCCTAAGAGAAGGTGGTTTATAACTGGAGAGTTGTTTACCTCGGGCGGGAGGAGGTTGGTCACTGGCCCTTTGTCTGAAAGAAATGTTGAAAGGTTGTGTGAAACACAGCGGACAGACATATCCATTATGGAATAGAAATCACAGGGAGGTTCCCCTGGACCCCCTCCCATGTCTTCCCAGGCGTTGGCAGAGTCATGTGACTGAAGGCAGCAGAACCTGAATTCCACCATAGAGCCCAGGGTACTGATTCCCTTCTCTTCAAAGAGAAGACTCTGACCCCTCATTACTAACTACAGCCCAGACTCCCTAATGTCCTTTTATAGACATTTTTGTCTCTGAACAGCAACTTCACAGGTCTTTTTTCTAGAAAATCTTTGAAGCTTTTCTAAAATAATAAGACATACACTCTGAGCATATGAATGATCTGCTGTCAGCTTCGGAGAGGTAGGAAAAGAAAACACTGCACGTTATGAAATGAGAGACAGCAGAATGAGAGAAGTGATAAGAAGAGAATAATAACGCAGCATAATCACAGCTATCCAATGCCTGGTCCTAGTACAAAAAACCACTTCAGCGTCCTTGATGGACTTCCAACGAATTGAAAAATACACAGCACCAAAAGCTGTGCTCTCCTGAAGGGCGCTGTTGATGGTATTACTGTCTCCCTCCTGTGACTACTCCTATATCTCCCATATAGCACTAAACACACATGACCCCGGGGATGACAGGAGCAGGCAGCTGGAGCAGGGAGAAGGGCTCTCCATCTTTGTGTAAACATCCTTCCTCCCTGATGTTCACGTCATCTGGCTAAACTTCCTTTCACACTTCTCTACTGTCGTCACCTACTCTTGGTCACACCCCAATTTTCACTGAAGACACAACATTTGTCTCCTCTTCACCCCATGTCCTACCACCTCCTTCAGTGATTTTACCGCCTCTGTGACTGACCCATCCATTACCTAGCTTCATAGTTCCTCTCCCTCCCCAGTTCCATGACCTTCAACTCCATTCCACACCTATGTTTACATTCTAAATCTTATCACCCAGATCCACATGACATGAAAAATATTTAACTCTAATATTGCTCTCTTTGACTCTCCTCGTTCTCACGTTCTCAGTCTAACTAGATCTGGTACCGTACCACAGAAATTTCCAGGTCCTTGATCTCTCAATCTTCTCATAGCCTCACCTCAATTTTGGCTCACTTATACCTCTACTCTGCCTAGAAGCATGGCTGATCACCAAGATTGCTCTCTTACCAATAATCACACATTCCAGGGATCCCCATTCTTTGTCACACATGCCTGGAAAAACCTAGTCCTGGATCTACAATCCACATTCCCTTTACAGAAACCTGAGATGCTAACAGCTATTAAGGAAAAAAATCACAAAGCCATATAAATTGATAGCCTTTCAAGTTCATAATTTTCTGTTTTGCTGGATTCTCAATACTGCTAAACAATCTTTCTCTTTCTCTTTCCCATTCCCCTCAATAACCTATCCAAATCTTCATTTTTTTTTCTTTAAGCTCCCACTCAACTCCCAGCTTACTCCCAGCAAATGAGTTTTCCTCCAATTACTCCATGAAAACTGAAGCTATCAGGTATGAAAGGCCTCAACTTCTTGCCCTCCCTAACCTAGGAAACTGGTACCTCAACCATCATCCTTATCACCTTCCTTTTAAGTCTCAAAAGTGGAGGTACTTTGCCTTTTGCTCAAGGCCAACCTCTCCACCTGCTGCTATTCCTAACCTATACCATCTCCTCTAAAACCCTGCTACTCAAAACACGGTCCCCACCCAGCATCACCTAGGAGCTTGTTGGACGAGCAGAACTCAGCCCCACCCAAACCTACTAAAACAGATTCTGCACCTTAGCAGATCCCAAAGTGATTCATATGCACTAAAGTTTGAGAATCAGTGTTCTAGAATTGTGCCTTGGAGTAACAATCTCTACCTTAAAGAGAACCATGTAAACCATCATCTAGAGCAGGGGTCACCAGACTTATCTGTAAAAGAACAGCTTATAAATATTTTAGCTGTTGTAGTACGAAAGCAACCATAGACAATATGCAAGCAAATTGGCATGGCTGTGCTCCAATAAAACTTACGTTTACAGCATGTAGAAATTTATTTTGAAATGGTGTATCTTTGGCTATGTATATTTTCACCAAAAAAAAAAAAAGATCAAGAAGGGAGAGGGTTGACATGTCGCGGGGTGGTTAACCAATGTCAAAAAATAATATGTGTACTGACTGTTTGGCGAGAAACTATTTGTTCTGTAAACCTTCATCTAAAGTACAATTAAAAAAAAAAAAACTTACATTTTATAAAAACAGGTAGTCACAATCGTTTATCTGAGACCAAATGGTCAACATTTACCCTAAAGCAAAGATGAGAAGGTCAGTGGGAGGGAGGGGGGCAGGGGAGCAAGAACAATAGAAATGGAACAACCAGAACGGAAATAATGAGAATGTTGATGTGACGTGGAAAATGTAACCAATGTCGCTGAATGGTATGTGCAGAAATTGTTAAATGGGAACCTAATTTGCTGTGTAAACCTTCACCAAAAACTCAATAAAATATTAAAAAAAAAAAAAAAAAAAAAAAAAGTCAGTCAGTTGGCAGGATTTGGCCCGTGGGTTACAGTTTGCAGATCCCTGACTAGAGTACAACCACCAGGCTGATTTAGTCCCCAGTGACAAAGGTTCACCATCCTACCCAAAGATTTGTATGTGCAGCTGGGAAAGAACCATACAAAGAATCAAAACATCTGGCTCCCAGCCCTGACCGGATCACTCACTACAGCCATATCCCCCTGGACAATTGCTAAACCTTCCTGAATAACCACTTCTTCATCTTTTAAAACTCCTTTTAAAAAGAGTATTGGTCCTTGCCTTCCTCACAGATTTACTTTAAGGACAAAATGAGAAAATATGTGTGAAAATGTTTTGAAAAATATAGTGCTAGAATTGTTAAGTTTCTTTTGTGAATGTTTTTTTGATGACTCAGGAAAAAGCAGGAATCTTCAAGAAGTCGCCTGTTCCTCCTCGATAAGTGGAAGGTAAATTCAGTTTTTGCGCAAGGTCAGTCACATGCTCGTACGTCTCTTAAAAACATGCCAAATTTACATCCTGGTTAATTTGGAATAGACATCATTTTTTCATTAGGATATTCACTCAGAACAAGACAAACCAACTCCCAAATCAGTATATATTAAACAAGAAAGCAGATTGTTCACTGGAATTTTGGGAATTAAAAAAAAAAAGCAGCAGCAGCTTGACAATCCTTGGAAAAGAGCATTTCCAACTGCACTATCAGTTGGTGTTGAGTGGACTACAATTCAGGGTGACCCCATGTGTGTCAGAGTAGAATTACGCTCCATAGGCTTCTCAATGGCTGGTTTTTTTCAGAAGTGGATCACCAGGCCTTTCTTCTGAGGCACTCCTGGGTAGACTTGAACCTCTAACCTTTCGGTCAGCAGCCAAGAGCATTAATCGTTTGCACCACCCAGGGATTCCCCAACTGTATTACAACTGTGCTTTCTCGACAGACCCCTCAGTGAGCACAGGCTTCTGAACTTTTTTTGTTGATAGGTTATGTTGTTGATAGGTGGCCACTGAGTCGACTTTCACTCATAGCAACTCCATGGGACAGAGTGGAACTGCCCCATAGAGTTTTCTTGGCCATAATTTTTACAGAAGCAGACTGCCAGGTCTTTCTCCCACAGAGCCACTGGACGAGTTCGAACTGCCAACCTTTCAGTTAAGCAGCCAACCACGTAACTGTTTGCGCGACCAGGGCTCCACATTTGTTATACTGCTACCTAAATAGTGAATAGCTTAATTTACTAGTGCCTAGATGGCTAAATTCTATTTTCAGATGCAGCAGATTTATGAGACAATAGCTCCAAAATTCTCGAGTCCAAGGATTGCACAGCTTTGCAACATTCAAATCACACGAATACCCCTCTCCACAAGCGCGCATAGTAAAGATGTGTTTAATACCATCAATTGCTTGGTCCTTGGGACCTAAAAAGAACCCATGGTCTTTTTCTTCTTTAGAGCCTGATAAGATAAAATAAAAGTGAGACGCTAAATAAATGTTATTATCTCATGCCAGCTGTGTTTGTGGCTGCTATACTACAGTTAGTAATTCCAAGGCCATTCTAGGAACTATGTTCTTCCTTTCACAAGCTGATATGGTGGAATTGATAAACTTGAGATTGATGAAAACAAAGAATCATATTACCTGCCCTGATATACACCTGATGAACTTGCTGCTGTTGCTTCTTCTTAATCCGAGAGTACTGCCGCTTCAGCGCGTTGATATCAGTGGTCATGCGTTCCATCATCATACTGTTAAAAGCTGCATGGTATTCACTTCGACAGGAATTGATTGCTCCAGGACTCAGCTCTGCAATGTTATTAGATCTCAGACTCTGCTCCTCACTTGGCTCTGTACTCGAGGGAAGAGAGAGAAGGAGATGGTCAGTGGAGGAGGACAGGATTAAATGGAAATTGATCACACTATAACCCGACGTGGTACGTTAACCTCCAGCAAATTTTAAACCACAAAAAAATGTACAGAAGAAGTGAATTTGTCTGGCACTTGGTTTTATTTCTGCATTTTCTTATTAGCCTAACGGTGGGTCTGAAATGAGCACCCTGGGTTCATTGTTTGATTTTGCTTGTTCATTATATACACAGATGATCAATCGTTGCCAGATAGAAATCACTGCCATTTTCTAAAATCCCCTTAGAAAAATATGACTCCAGATGTCTGAAATCATTGTGCAGTCTTCAGCATGAATAAAAACAGATTTCCACATAAGTGCATGAGGATTTATAAGGGATTTATAGTTGGTAAAGGTTAGTCAGCCATTGAATGCATTTTACTTGAGTTAAAAATAACACTTTCTCAAGACTTCGGATCACTATATCACTAGAGATGAATGTTTTTATCTATTTAACAAACATTTCCTGATCATCTGCTATGTGTGCTATCCAAACACTAAGAACACAGCAGTAGACAAGCTGGGTGAGATGTCTGCTCCTATGACACCTACAATTAGCAGATTTGTCCCTTTATAAAATTGTGATTACCTCCAAGAAAGAGACATAAAAAATACTGGTGAGGGTACAGTGGACCGCATAAGCCAAAGTAGGATAGGAATGTGGTTTCTCTAGTACAACATGTAAAACCAGCCTGCAGACCAGCTAAAGAGAGATTAATGGGGGGATTTCAACTATCCTCACATCTGCTGAAAGTCTTATTCAGATAAAAGCTGGACGTTTGATATATTTACTTCCTTTCTACTGAAATCACTTCTCTAAGGAGAAGAAAAATAAAAGGGCAACTGCTAATCTGAACTTAATTAAAACCAGCAAGAAAGACTATTGATGAAATACCTTAAGAGGAAATATCATGTCATTCTGGGGCATGTAATTGCACAAAAAAAAAAAAAACCACTGGGGGTAGGGGATGGGGAATGGAACACAGACCAGACTGTAGAAGTGCAAATTCTAAAACATTAGAGAAAGAAATAATTTCTAAGAGTTAAAAAATATATAAAAATAAAAAACATTAGCATTAAGATACATATTGATCCCATGGCTAGAAAGCAAAAATTGAAATTCAGGCAATGAGAATGAGACAGATAGAGACAGAGCAAGGGGGGAGTGCATTACAGAAATCAACAGGACATCAGAGAGAATTCTCTTGTTGGATTCAGATTTTTAAAAGCCATTTAAAAAGATGAGAGGAGAGCACATATCAAGGACATGCACACAAAACAATCTGCCACCAGGCAGGCAGGTTAAAAGTCAAAGCAAGCTAATACAAAACCACTCAAAAAAAAAAAAAAAGGCTTTCTAAGAAGAACAAAAAAGAAACAGCACTGTGGCTTCATAAAGGTAGAATAAAGTTAGCAGATGGCAAAGAGAATGCAGAGATATCTGCCATCCATTTTGTTTCTGTCCTCTTCCAGCAAAGAGAATGGTCTTCAAACTAGAAAAGGAGGAATAAATATTCTAACGGAAGAGCTGCCATCCAAGGCAGGAAAGGACATAGTATGAGAACCATGAACTGCTTCAAAAGAGTTCGTTTCACAGATAATGAACAGATAATTGTCTGTACAAGAGAAAACAAATCTACAACATGAATTCAATTCAGAGTGCCACATTTTAAGAGGGATACTACCAAACTATGGCACATCCAGAAGTGAATTAGTAGAATCCTAAAATGTCCAGAAGCTATATCTGACAAAAAATGCTTAAAGAAATTCTGAACTTGGCCATGGAGAAAGCATTGGGGGACACAGAAGCCATCCTCAAAGATCTGAAGGAATATTAGGCAGAAGAGGGAGTAGACTTGTCCAGTGTTGTTCCAAGGGGAAGAACTATTTGTAGAACCAGTGGTGGAGGTTATCTTGTTTCAACTAGAAACCATGGACTAAGCAGAGGAATCTAGTAGAATGCCTTGTGAGATAATGATTTTGTCAAGTCAAGAAATTCAAGTAGAACCTGGATAACAACCTACCATAATGTTTTAGATTTAGGGGGTATATTCCTATAATGGAAGAGAAGCTGATCTAGAAAGAATTCAATTGAAATTGAATTTATTAAGCATCTACTATACGCCAGGCTCCATGCTAAGGAACTGAGCAAATAAAGTTGAATCAGATGAATGGGGTGAGGTGTGTGGAGGGGTTAAAAGTCACCATTAACAAAGTTAAAAAATAAATACATATTATCTATATAACATGAAATACAAAGATATCCTACTAAATGATAAAGTGACAGAGACCTTTAATAGTAGTAACCACTATAACCACTCAGTAGTAACTGAGACATCTACAGAACAGAATAATACCACGGCTATAGTGAACCAACGCATTATGAAAATCTAAGGGACAGTCATCTCCATTTACCCTTAATTTGCTTTTGGTACTTCTGCAGTTCGGGTGCCAGCAGCCCACTGAAAGGTCCAAGGCATCCCACTGCATTAGCAATAGCATCTTCATCATCCGGGTCATTCTCTTCATCACTGTCTCTGACCTTACCATGTCGTCTTGAAAAATATAAAAGAAGAAGAAAGAAATAGTCAAAGAAAATAGTAGTGCTTAAAAAAATAAGGATATAGTTACATGGTTTAAATGCCATATATATATCTATATATACACACACAAACATATATATATAATGCACACATACAAATATGTATATTGCTGTTGTTAGGTGCCGTCAAGTCAGTTTCAACTCATAGTGACCCTATGTACAACAGAACAAAACACTGCCCCGTCCTGCGCCATCCTCACAATCGTTGTAATGCTTGAGCCGATGGTTTCGGCCACTGTGTCAACCCATCTCATTGAGGGTCTTCCTCTTTTTCGCTGACCTCTACTTTACCAAGCATGATGTCCTTCTCCAGGGACTGATTTCTCCTGATAACATGTCCAAAGTATGTGAGACATAGTCTCGCCAGATATATATATATACACACACATAAATACATATATGTATGTATGTATATATATATACAGTATGCATTTGTGAATACACACACATACATATATACTGCTTGGCTGCTAACCGTTAAGCACTCAGCTGCTAACCAAAAGGTTGGCGTTTCGAACACACCCAGAAACTCCAGAAAGACCAGATGATCTGCTTCCGTAAAGATTACAGACAAGAAAACCCTATGGGGCACTTCTACTCTGGCACATGGAGTCGCTGTGAGTCAAAATCAACTCGACAGCACCAACAACTAACAATATACATACGTACGTAATAGGTGGATGGGGGGGTGGGTATATTGATAGACAGATGGACAGATATATATATACACACACATATATAAAGTCTCCTCATCCCTGCCCAACTTCTGCCCAGTTCTCACCTCACTTAATTCCCACAGGTGATCATTGTTACTAGTTTCTTATGTATTCTTCAGTTTCTTTACACTCACATAAGTAGATATGACTATATAGTCTTATTTTTGTCTTTTTGTATAGATATTAGCATACTATATACACTCTTTTGCACCTTGCTTTCATTCACCTAAGAAATCTTTCCATTTCATACACAGAACTTCAGCTGTACTGTATTGTACATGTAGTCCATTTTATGGGACCAAGTCTCTAATGGTGCACACTTGAGTTGTTTCCAATCTTATACTATTATAATAAATTACTTCATACATACTGCATTTTGCATGTGTGCAAGCGTATCTGTGGGAGAATTCACAAAGGCAGAATTGCTGGGTCAAAGGGTATATAATCATTAGCACTTTTGGCAGATAATGCCAAATTGCCCACCACAAATCCTTAAGTAATTAATCTCTCACTAGCAATGTATAAGAGTGGCTGCTTCCCCATAGCCTTATCAACAGAGTGTGTTATCAACCTTTTGAGCTTCTGCCAATCTGATAGGTAAAAGATAGTACCTCAATCTAATTTTAAACTGCATTTCTCTTATTATGAGTGATCTTGCCTTTTATGTGAACTACCTATTGCCATCCTTTGGTCATTTTCTTATTGACTTCTAAGAACTTTATATGTTAGAATATAAAATCCCTATTTTGTGTAGTGAGTTACAAAGATTTTTCCCAAATATTTTTTAATCTGCTTAAGGAATTTTTTGTTTTGTTGTGTTTTACTTGGGGTCCTGCAGAAAATTTTTTAATGTGCTTAAATTTAATTTTTTTTATTATTTTGAGTCAGTTATTAAGGCTTTCCCAATTCCAAAGAACTAAAGGAATTCTTCTACATTTTCTTCTGCTAATTTTATTATTTCATTCTTTCTAATTGAATTATTTCCTCCATATAGAATTTATCCAGATGTATGGTGTGAGATATGACTCTAACTTTCTTTCTTTCCAGATTAGATCTCATGACCCATTTACTGAATAATATATCTTTTCCCCATTGATTTGATATGCCAATTTTTCATATACTAAATTCCTGTATTTCTTTTGGTCAATTTCTGGTCTTTGTATTATTTTAAATTAGATCATCTGTCTATTTATGCACCAGTTCCACACTATCTTAATTTTGAGATTTTTAATATTTGATATTTTAAAATAAGTTGTTGCTATTTTGTTGAAGGTTGCTAAATATATCCTTCAGTTTATGTTCTTAATTGTACTCAACTTCGTTGGAAAGTGTACCTTAAAAAAATCATAACTGCACTGCTACTCTCTCTTGAATTTGAAGTCAAATCCTTTAGGAAAGAGACATTCAGATTGTAAGTACCAAATTACCTTGAACATACTTCTGGGGTTTAAGGAATATCTGTTCACAACAAATAATTAAGGTATTAAATCTTCCATCATTAAAACAACAAGGAAAAAAAAAAAAAAACCTTACCCAGAAACTGAGGTGACTTTAACTGTGGCTGGGAACGGTGTAATGTTGTAGGTGTATTTTTCCCTTAACTCTGCCAACTGTGGGAAAGGGAACGGCGCCATAGAATAAACAGTCTGAAAAACAAATGCAAAAATGCTACGTCTGAAATGGTGGCCTTAAACAACTGGAACCACAATGAAGTTTTATGAATTTGAGGGCGAAGAGGCAGATATTGCTCTTTATATAGTGGGTGGGAGAGATTCCACTTCAATATCCACTTTGGAGAAAGACAATACCGGTGAACACCACAGTAAGATCTCAAGTCCACCAGCGAGACGGGACATTCCAACTGGTGAACATGGGTGGGCAAATAGGTACTTCCTCCTGCTCATATGGTAGATGGCTTAATTCAGAAATCCCCAGTTCCCTAACACTGCTATACCAAAGGGCCCAGCAGCTTCTTCATACATAGTGCTTACTTTTCAAAACTGTTTGATGATTTTTATAGACATTTAATGCCAGGGTTCTGAAAAAAATTAAGTCTAGTGAAAGATCTTGTGATCAACTGCAAGCTTTCTCCAAAGATATCACCTTTTCAAATGACTGTGAGTTCTAGGTGAAAATTGTTAGCTGTTATTTTTAAAGAAAAAAAAAAAAAAAAAACAAGAAAAAAGGTGATAGGGTGTAAAGCATAGGCTGTTAATAAATCTTTAAATAAAAATGGGACAACGCGCCTGTGCTTCCACCAAAATTTCAAAAGTAGGTACCCTTCTATTAGCAGCAGGAAAGTAACTTGTTTGTGCTCTTATTTTTATTAAAATGTAATTGCTCCAAAAACAGTTCTTCAATCCTTCAGGTTCTTACACCCCAGAAAATATATATAAATCATACTAACTTTCACTTCCCCCAGGAAGTCATTCAAATAGTAGCTTGATGAAGCTTTTCTAGGAAAATATTTAAAAGTGTTAGTTTTCATTTCAGCAGGACTATTTGTCTGAAGGCTTTGGAGATGTCACATATTTGCCTGGGTAGGCAAAGGGAGGCTCTGAAAGGAGTTTCATTTTGCAGCTGTTCTGCTTATAGCTCAGCGCCACTACTGTGCCAGTCCACTGCAACCTTGATTCTAAACAGCCCGCACATCTAGCTGCCCCCAAGCGTCAATGGCACCAGCTTACGCTTTACTGTAGCTGCCCAAGATTCCAAACAAGTAGGTGTTGGCAAAAAGTCCGTCCCTTCAATACTCCATTGTTTATTCTGCAAAGCTACACAGCTTATACCAGTTGCCATCAAGTTGACGCTGATTCTTGGCAACCCCGTGTATGTCAGAGTTGAACTGTGCTCCATAGGGTTTTCAATGGCTAATAACCAAAAAAAAAAAAAAAAGACCAAACCCATTGCTATCGAGTCGATTCTGACTCATAGTGACCCTATAGGACAGAGGAGAACTGCCCTATAGGGTTTCCAAGGAGCGTCTGATGGATTCAAACTGCTGACCTTTCAGTTAGCAGCCAAGCTCTTAACCACTGTGCCACCAGGGCTCCATAGTGACTACAAAAGTCATCTCTAAGTTGTCTTATTATGTATAACACAAACCTGATTGTACCCCACAGGCTGAGAAGCAATGCAAATTTACTAATAGTGACCTGTCCCCCTAGAAAAAAGGAGAAGGTGTCTTGTGGTCCCCACCAGCCTAGAGTGTGAAAGCCTCCTCTTCCTTATCTGAAAAATTAAAAGTGTGAAACTCAGGATCATGGTTACCTCTGAGAGGAGGAAAGGGTAAGATCAGGGAGAGGTGTATGAGGGTATTCACTTATGTTGTTAATGTTTTATTTCTTAGGTTTGGTGACAATATGTAGGCTTAGTATTCTTAGTATATTCTGTAAGTATTATAATACTCCCTATAATTTTACTAATAATGTTGTTAGATTGAACTCTCATGTTCTTTGATCCCACAAAGGTGCCAACAGCTAATCACCCAAAAAGCTGCCTCCCTGCCAGTACAGAGCTCTTATGATGATGTCTTACATACCTTTTTGAAGGAGATGGAGAGATATGAAATCCTCTCCTTAGTACCCCAAGTTTAGGTCCAGAGCATGGGCCCTCTGCTTGGGCCAGTGGTGTCACTAGGGGGGTACAGGGGGGTGCAGACCACACCGGGTGATATGTCAGAGGGGGTAACACCAAAATGACTGTCTATAAAAATATTCCTGCAGTTAGTTATAATAGCAAAAAGATTTTTCGTAATCCCAGTTTACATGTATCAATATACATACAAGCCTAACTTATTTTTTGAACCTTCTAACACCCTCCGGTCAGAGCTGTCATTATTACCCAATTACAATGATGCTTTGAATCACGTGGTTTCGTCTGCACGTACCACAAGCACACACTGCTGTTTTCATTGCTATCAGTGTTTTTATAGTCCCTGATTTTGTCAAATTTTCTGATATTTTAGCTACAATACTCTGGCAATTAATATTTGTGAACCTATATCAATAACTTTTTTGAGAATGAAGTAGTAATTAAAGGAAAAGAAGGAGTGATACATGGAAATTACAATTTATGAGAAACATTAGTTCAAAAAACATTACTAAGGATTCTGTATGGAGCCCTGATGGCACAGTGGTTAAGAGCTTGGCTGCTAACCAAAAGGTTGGCAGTTCGAATCCACCAGCTGCTCCTTGGAAACCCTGTGGAGCAGCTCTACTCTGTCTAATAAGGGCACTATGAGTTGAAATCGCTGGACGGCAATGAGTTTGTTTGTTTTCTTAAGGATTCTGTATGGTCTGGTACTGGAGGAAGTCCATGGGGGTGGGTGTGACACCATGAGTTACTGCACTGGGTGACACCAACCCTAGTGACGCCATTGGCTTGGGCCTCAGTGAGGGCAGCATAGGCTTAATTGTATCTGCTCACCAAAGACCAAAAAGATGATCCAACAGTTGGGCCAAGAGTGAGGTCCCCCTTCCCTGGTTCATGTGATTTTTTTCCCTGAACATTTTAGAAACTTCGTTCAAACTTTTAAGAAACTCATACCAGTTGGATTCAACTTTTAAAAACTAAGATTATTGATGCTAGGAATTAAAAAATCCCTTACAAGTCAGATGTCTCATTGAAAACAACTGGCAGGGTAATGACCTGGAGATTTACCAGTGTTTTATTTTTACTGGTTTTATAGAAAGGTATCACAAAATTCCTTTGTCCAGCCTTAGGATGTATTTATAAGGAGGAACGGGAAGTACATCTGCCCCAGGCCAGACGGTCTGGACTCTTCCTGGTTAAAAAAAACTCCTTTTAAAAAAAAAGTTAAAAACTCCTTCAGGGGCTGCTTAGCTAAAGACACTTGACTAACAACAATGAAAACAAAAAATCGGCTCTGTTGAGCATTCATTTTCTATTTCCCATCTTCCTTTATCGTTTACTTTTAGGTAGTTCTTCAAAGAAGAAATCAAAGTATAACTTGTTTATAGTCCTTTTTCACGTATATCCACTCACTTATTTGAGGTCTCACAGGTCTGAAGGCATGTCTGGAGGTATGTTTATCCCTGGCACACCACCACAGTCCTAACAGGCACCTGGTAAGCTCGGGATGAGATAAGGTCTAGGCCTCTAACTTTGTAAATCAGTGACTTACAATAAATTCCAAGAATGAAATTTTACCAATCATCTTAGAGCCAAAATATGGTAGAGTAATAGAATCTGAAGGAGCCCTGGTTGCACGGTGGTTAAACACTTCAGCTGCCAACCGAAAGGTCGATGGTTCAAACTCACCAGCCACTCTGTAGGAGAAAGATGTGGCAGTCTGCTTCTATAAAGATTACAGCCTTGGAAACCCTATGGGGCAGTTCTACCCTGTCCTATCAGGTCACTATAAGTCAGAATTGACTTGACCACACAAAACAACAATAAAATCTCAGGGTTAGAAAGGAATTTAAACATAATTTAGTTCAACCTCCCTCCCTAGCAGGAGTCCTTTCTAGAACACCTCCAACAGATGATCATAAAGGCGCTGCTTAAACACTTTCAGTTATGGGCATACAATATTCTGCAGGGTAGATGTTTTCAATTTTTGACAGCACTAATTAATCAAACACCATCCTTCTACTGAGCAAGCATCTACTTCCTGGTAATTTCCACCCCATCATTGATGATAAAAAGTGAAAAATGTGGGTCTAAGGGCATCCTGTCTCATGGCACCTGAGCGCTCCCTTTAGGTAACAGTAAATCATTAACGAACACCTTGGGTTAGGCTTTTCAAGCACCTGAAACAAAAAGTTAAGCACTTGACTACTAGCTGAAAGGTTGGCAGTTCGAACCCACCCAGAGGCGCGTTGGAAGACAGGCCTGGCTATCTGCTTCTAAAAGGTCACACCTCTGAAAACCCTAAGGAGAAGTTCTGCTCTGCAGACATGGGGTCGCCATGAGTCAGCATTGGCTCCACGGCAACCAACAACAACAAAATCCTCTAATTAATAGCATCTGTCTAGTGCTGCCATAAAAGAAATACCACAAATGGATAGCTTTAATAAACAGAAATTTATTCTCTCACAGTATAGGAGGCTAGAAGTCTGAATTCAGGCACCAGCTCCAGGGAAAGGTCTTCTCTCTCTCTGTCAGCTCTGGGAGAAGGTCCTTGTCATCAATCTTCCCCTGGTCTAGGAGCTTCTCAGCGCAGGGACCCTGGGTCCAAAGGACAGGTTCCACTCCTGGCTCTACTTTCTTGGTGGTAATGAGGTCCCTCTCCTCTCTGCTTGATTCTCTCTTTTATATCTCAAAATAGATTGACTCAAGATACAACCTAGTCCTGTAGATTGTGTCCTGCTTCATTAACATAACTGCCTCTAATCCTGCCTCATTAACATCAGAGAGGTTAGGATTTACAACACATAGGATAATTATGTCTGATCACAAAACAGAGGAAAACCACACAATGCTGGGAATCATGGCCTTGCCAAGTCGACACACATTTTGAGGGGACACAATTCAATCCATAACAGCATCTAATTTTTCTCCATATGGTCCTCAAGGAATTCATGAGAGACTTTGTCAAATGTCTTCCTAAAATCCAGACACACCATTTCCTCAGCGTTCCTCCAATCTCTCTTTCTAACACTATGGATTAAGAAAAAAAAAAAAAAAAAAAGGACAATTGCTAATAAGAAAAAAGAAAGATGTTATTTACAAGGTGGGGGGCAGATTATTTTAGAATTGAAAAAAATAGGGACGATCAAAATGGGGAGAATCCTTTCATCTCTTCAGCTCAAATATAAAGACCTTACATTCAGTATATATTTTTCATCTGGAGTCACTTCAGGTTTGCTGACAGACTCATGGCCTGCCATAGTTGGATCATAGCCATTGAATTAATTTTGTTAAAAAGAGTGAACACAGAGAAAAGAGTGGCTTGAAATGACATTCATCATTTCTCTCCTTAATACTCTGTGATGGCAAGGAAAACCAACAAGTCTATTTACTATCTAAACTACCAACACACAGTTACATAGCCACTTATTTCTAGGCACTACTGAAAAGGAACTAGATTTCCTTTTTCATTATTGACATCCTTTACAAGAAACATGAAAACGTAAGTTGTATAAAATCAGGCTCAGTTCGTCTTCACCCAGATATTTTCCTCCAAAGGAGAAAAGCTACTAAAATGGAATCTAATCAATCATCCCAAAGCCGACATTTTCTCCCTCTAGGATCCTCTTATAGCCAACTAAGAAGGATGTTCTCTTTTCTTCTAATGCCTAAGAGTGGAAGTTCCTAGAAGACAAAGGTGGTATCCAACAAAACCAAAGCTTCTGATATCACTCGTCCCAATTTTTAAACTTTAAATAAGATGCTGCCTTATTCTTCTGAAGAGGATTTTAGTTTTCAAAAGGACACGTTTTGAATACAGTGGAAGCAGTCTGCGGTGGGGAAAAGCCATAGGCCAGGAGTCAGGGACTTGGGTCTCGGTTCTGGGTCTGACACTAGATGACCTAAGAAAGTGACAAGTTGCTCACACTCTCCAAGTCCTAGTTTCCTCTTTGTTAAGTGACTAAATTTGATCTTTAAGCTTCTTTTAAGCTAGTGCTGTTTCTCTTAAGTGTTATCTAAAAGTCACCCGCATTAGAACCACTCATGGGCCAAATATCTGCATTTTAATATACTCTTGAGATGCTTCTCATGCACAGTCAAGTTTGAAAATCACTGCCTTAAGTTCTAATGTTCTGTGATTCTGTGTATTCACTGAGCAGCCAGGAGTATTCTTAGCATTGTGCTCAGTGTTATGGGGATATGAAGTAATATGAGTCCCTTATTAAGGAGGAGTCCCTGGGTGGTGCAAATGGTTAAGCGCTCGACTACTAACTGAAAGGCTGGTAGTTCGAAACCTGCCAGAGGTACCTTGGAAGAAAGGCCTGGTGATCTGCTTCCAAAAGGTCACAACCAAGAAAACCCTATGCAGTAGTTTTACTTTGCAACACACAGGGTTGCCATGAGTCAGAATCAACTTGACAGCAACTGGTTTGGTTTTGTGTTTTAATCATTAAGGAGGAGCCCCTGTGTGGTGCAAATGGTTAACTGCTCAGCTGCTATCCAAAAGGTTAGCAATTCAAATCTATCCAAATGCACCTCAGAAGAAAGACCTGGCAACCTACTTCTGAAAGGTCAGTCATTGAACTCTTTGGAACACAGTTCCACGCTGACACACATGGGGTTACCATGAGTTGGAATCAACTCAATGGCAATTAGTTACTGATAATCATTAAGGAATTTGCAAATTCATTAAGAAAATAATATAAGAAGTGTTTGTTAAATCAATTGTTGAAAATCTAAGTACTGAAGGAATACAGAGGAGCTGTCATCAATGAGGGCTAAGATAACAGAGGCTGCTTACGGGGGAGAAGAGGAGAGACTGAGCCTGGTCCAGATGGACAGATAAGATTTTTACAGATGGAGCATCAGAGGGAACCATAAGCCCTGTCACAGGAATGAGCATGGCCAATAGAGGGCGGGGCAGAAACAGAGCTATGAACAGTGCAACGAGTTTGTCTTGTGAAGCAGTAGGAAGTATCTTAGGATAGGTAAGGAATAAGGAGTCAAAGTGCACCTGCAGTATAACCTGTCTGAAAATCAACCCATCATCCTCCCCCCATGAACTTACCCTCCTTTCTCCTAAGCCAGAAACCTGGAGGTTTCCCTTGTCACCTCCATTTCCTTCTTTACTCCCACATCCATTTTCAATGGCCAAGTCCAGTTGATTTCTCCTTCTAAGGACTGTCTCTGTTCCATTCTTGTCTCTATCCTCATCACTGCCTCCTCACAGGCATGGCCTGCTGTCAGACTTGACCCCATCAAACCCATCCTTCACAGAGCTGCCCATGTAGTTGACATAAGACACAACTCAGATAGTTTCCCTCCTTCTCTTAACATCTTTCAGGTCCACAGCTCTTCTCTTTTCCTTTCCAAAGGCTCAATTAAAGCCCTAGGGCTCCAGCAAACATGGTTACAGAACCACTGACCTAAAAGCTCAAGTCGAATTTCCTTATCAGGCTTATGGTCTTCAATAACCCAGTCCCTGAATGCAAATCTCCTTGAGTTTCCCTCACCCACCCTACAGTATTTCACCTCTGTGCCTTTGTTCACATTGATCCCTCAATCACAAATTCCCTCCTCGCTTTGTATGTGTGTGTGCAACACCATACAATATTAAAGAAAACTGTAAGCTCCCTGAGGACAGACCCCAAGTCTTAATATCTTATCTTAATGGAGGATTATTCTAGTTGCAAAAAAGATTTTATTTGAGCAGAGGGAATCTGAGAGAAGGGTCATCATCTAAGAGTTTTGTTTAATTCAGTAAACATTTATTGAAAAAGAGGAGGCAGAAAACTAACCACAGGCTCTCCATACACGTTTGCTTAATGAATTAAAAAAAATTTTTGTGCACCTCTAGTAAAAGGCATGTTGCTAAAGTATTATGAACAAAGCACAGTTCCTGCCCTTCAAGAACTTACAATGTAACTGAGTAAATAAGATACAGTCTCAAATCAAGGTAGAAAGTGAAAAATGCTCACAAGAGAGGTATAAATAAAATGGTATGGTGATTCAAAAAAAGGATAGATATCTTTAATTGAGATGATCAGAGAATGTCTCATAAAGGAGATGGCATCTTAACTAAAAGTTTCAAAAGGAGTCAGGATTTAAACATGCGAAGGTAGAACAGATAAAGGAAGCAGAGAGAGCAAAGGTGTGGGGAAGGAATTTCCCAGGCATTTCTGAGAATATGCAAGCCATATTCTCATATGCAAGGGTACAAAATGGAATTATAAGAATATGGCTGAAAGGTAGGTTAAGGCCAGATAGTCAAGAGCACTGGATGATAAGGTGAGAAATCTAAGCTCTGTTTTGTAGGTAATGGGTAGCTATTAAAGTTTCATGAGTGAGGGAGGAAGAATGACATCACACAGTCTTGCTTTGTTAAATGAACTGGTCAACTCTGTAGGATGTAAAGGATCTCCCACGTGAAGAATGTTAAGCATGGATCTGGCATATAAAGTGATGCTCAATAAAAGCACTTCCTTCCAAGAGACTAGATCATCTCTGTAGGCGAAAAAAGAATGAGTGGAAAGAACTGAAGATACAAGAAAGAGAATGAGTGATAAAGTGGTGGAACAGAGATGTCTGGGTCAGATAGAACACTTCTTCCTCTGAAACATACAGGAAAGAAGAAAGGAGTGTTGAGATAAAAAATGTGAATGTTCAGACAAGTTATATAAGGTGGTCAATATTCTCAATAAATTCGGTAGCTGCTAAGAATATGGGTTTCTAGGAAGGAGCTGGGTGTGCTAGGAGATGAGCAAAGGAATAGAAGCTCCTTACTTCTCAAATCCTAAATCAGAGCCCGAGTCATAGTTTTCTAACCTGTTGACTGAGCCCCAGCATCCAAAATGACCTCAGGTATGGAGCCCAACATAAAGGTGAAAATTGAAACCAAGAGAAAGGGGAAAGAGGTCACAGAGAAAGAAGAAACTAAAGCCCAAAGACAGAATCTTGGGCAAGACCCAATTGCTCAGTGAGTGAAAAGGCGAACCAAGAAGAGAAGAAGCAGTCAGAAGCATAGGAGGAGAACAGGATAAAATCATGTTATAGAACCTAATGGAAGAGAGAGGGTTAACAATCTGCTATCCTTTCTATACTCACTATCAATTTTAATTGACTCGGTGAGCACGATATTGAGATGTGGTAACATGTCAGAAAATAAACTCTTCAAATCTTTCATATTGAAATTTGTGATTAATACATTCAATTAATAAATAAAATAGAATAACCTGAGTTGAAAATGTGGGAAAACAAAGTCAAATAAACCAAAATGCTAATTAGAATAATCTTCTTTTTATCCCCAATGATTCCTTCTAAAAAATAATTATTTCACCCCACAGAAGTCTCCCTATAAGAAGGCTAAGAATCTGATTTAGAATAAACACCTAGTGGTTTGGGTTTTTTGATTTTTATAATTTTTTAAAATCTATTTTTGTATTATACTTAGTGATTTCTAAGCAACACAGTTTGAATGAAAGTCACAACAAATATCCACTATTCATTTCTTCCTTCCTCTTTGACATAACTAGATTCTTATCAAATTATATATATAGCCTCTTGGTCAACTGAAAAACTGCATCTAAGGCCAAAAACATATCCCAAGACCCCCCTTCCAGCACTGGTTGTTCTGTCAGTACACAGGGTTCTATGAGCCAAGACTGGGCCACACTGCCCACTCACCTGCATAAGTTCATAGCTTTCCAGAAGATCATTCTCTAGCATTTCCTGGGTAAGGTGCCCCATGGTGCTGTAGAATTCGTCTGCTGTTTCACAGCATTCTATCTGCCTAGATAAAGAAAGAACAGGAAAATAAATTGTTATGATTACATGCTACATAATAAACATATACTATAGGTGCAACAGGATGTGTTGCCTCTTGCCATCCAATCAATCAAGTTAGCAATCAACAAAAATCAAAATCCTGGGATGCATTCACAGTATAGCCTGCTGTAGGTGGAGAAAAGATTATATATATATACACACATACATACCAAAGGCAACTCAGAGGTACTGGTTACAGGATGAGTTCCCATCTTTCTTGCACTGCTCCCCCAGCCGCACAGTCCCACCTATGGCACTTCTCTTGTTTCCATGTGACACATTCCACACATCAAAGTACCCACCACTGATGAGAAATTATAACCACGAAATTGGATGCTGAAGAACAATTATCCCATGTAGGGAATCCACTGCTCTTAATTTGCAAACTAGAATACTGCTAATAGGCTGAAACCAACTCACAGCAGAAGTAAACAATGACAAAAGCAAGAACTTTAACTGCATCTTTCATCTGTCAGCAGGATGTTTGCACGGGCAGAATTTTCTGAGTTCTTCTCAGGGCTCTGCTGCTAGCTGGAGATTGCACCCTGTTTCTTGAATTTAGTTTTGCATGTAAATAAAAAATCTATCACCTTAGCAACCTGCAAGTGAGATAGGGTAGTCTTTAACCCTTCCTCCAGAGGGAAAAAAGAGAAATTGTCCAAAGCTAAAAGACTGGGTATTTCTATTTTATATATTATGTTGTTCTCTGGATATAAAGATAACTCTATTTGCACACCAACAGTAAGAAATGTGCTTTGACATATGCTAATGTTGGGGGATTTCCATAGAAACACTGAGGAAATAAATTTGATAATGGAAAAACCGCAGGCTCTGGAGTGTTGTTCAAATCTCATTGCTACAATCATGCAAATAAATAAATGAAAGAAACTTGTTGAAGCATTATTACAAAAATTTAGAGTAGAGTGTGAGCATAAATGCAAACGTGGTTGACTTTATCTTGGGAGATGTGGAAGGGAAATAATGCTTAAGACAAGTTTTGAAAAAGGTTCTCCAGGCTAACAAAGAAGAAAAAGCACTCCACAGCATGGATTAAGGAGACTTGGGACCTATTCCAGGAACTGCAAGTAGTTCAGCAAGAGTGGAGTGGGTGAGTGGATGCATGGTCAGGAGGACGACAGCAAGAGCTGAGGGTAGAGAGATGGCAGAGACCAGATGCCCAAAGGGCCTCTCCTGCCAGCTGAGTTCTGCAGGGCACGCATCGCTGAAAAGCTCTTAATAGGAAGTACAGGAACAGATGTGCCCTTGGCAAGTTCAGCTTGGAGGTGGCATGGCAAGTGTGAGAGACCAGGGAGGAGACTCTGCGACAGGCCAGGCGTGAGGTAATGAGGGAGCAAGCCAAAGTAGTAGGGTCAAAGAAGAAACGACATGTAACAGAGACACTAGTGAAGGTGAGATAGTCTACAACTTACATATTCCACAGTACCCTGAACCTGTTGCCATCGACTCGATTCCAACTCATAGCGACCCTAAAGGACAGAGTAGAACTGCCCCATAGGGTTTCTGACGCCGTAAATCTTTACGGAAGCAGAATGCCACATCTTTCTCCCCTGGAGCGGATGGTGGGTTCGAACTGCCGATCTTTTGGTCATCAGCTGAGTGCTTAACCACTATGGCACCAGGGCTCCCAAAAGTACCCTTAGTGTGAGTAAAAGGAAGAAATTCCAAGTTGCAAAAGCAAGGTGAAAGGAGAGGTCCCATGGATAACCATATATAAGACATTATCTGTTACTCAGGAATACATAAACCAGAGGTTACCTCTATCTGTTTATGATTTTTTTCAGTGCAAAGTTTATGGGGAAGATTATAGGCACTGGAGTCAGAAAGAGTGGAGTTTAAATCACAGCTCTATACTCATTGGCTGTGTGACCTTGGATAAGTTACTTAACCTTCCTGATGTAGTTTTCTCACTTGAAAAAACAGGAAGAGTGGTCCTACGTACTTCACAGGGTTACTGGGAAAATTGAATGAGATATATTTAAATTTCTTAACATAATGACAGGCACTATAGGCACTTAATGATGCTCGCTGCCTTCCTGTCCCTTGATTAACAAGATGTAGAATTATAATGAGCAAAGACTCTGAAACATTTAAAACTCTGTCACACAAATAAATACATATTCACGCATGTTCATAGCAGCACTATTCATGATGGCCAAAAGGTAGAAATGTCTACCAACGTATGATTGGATAAGCAAATTCTGGCATCCATACAATGGAATACTATTCAGCCATAAAAAGGGATGAAGTACTAACACATGCTACCATGTGGATGAGCCTTGAAAACATAATGCTAAGCCGAACAGAACCAGACACAAAGGTCACATATTGTATGATTTCATTTATATGAAATGTTCAGAAGAGGTAAATCCAAGGAGAGAGAAAGCAGAATGGTAATCGCCAGGGGCTGGGTGGGGAGAGGAGTCGGAAAAAACTGCTTAATGTTTATGGGGTTTCCTTTTGTGATGTTAAAAAGGTTTGGAACTAAATAGAAGTGGTAGTTGCACATTGTGAATGTAATAAATACCACTGAATTGTTCACTTTAAAATGAATTTTGCCTCAGTTTTGAAAAAAAAACAACTTCTATCGCAGTCTGATTCATGCATCCCCTGAACTTCATAAACAGTAGCCATTTATTATCAGTAGACTCACATTATTAAAAGCACAGATTTTAGAGCCAGAATGCCTGGGTTTAAAATCAGGCCCTTCCACTTACTAATTGGGTGACCTTAGGCAATTTATTTAACTTCTCTGTGCCTCAGTTTCCACATCTGCAAAATGGGGATGATAATAGTAACGACCCTCATGAAGCAATGGTGAGGACTAAATGAGTTAATACATCTAGAGTGCTAAGAAGAGTGCCTGTCTGTCGTACGCATGCAGTGAATATTGGCCTTTAGTTGCACTCTTATTATTTCAAGAGTTGAGCATGCCTGGGATGACCATACGCATAAGTTCTGATCCTACAGATACATGGGAATGAAACTTGAATCATGGCTTTTCCTCCTGCTCCATCGTTAAGAACTAACACAAAGGTGACTATAACTGATTCAGCATACAGTAAACCCCTTTACTATTTCAATCCTACAGACTAGTTACTCACTGGTTTGCCCCACTGAGGGCAGTGGTGGTTAAGTGGTAGAATTCTCACCTTCCATGCAAGAGATCTAGGTTTGATTTCTAGCCAATGCACCTCATGCACAGTTACCACCCATCTGTCAGTTAAGCTTGCATGTTGTTATGATGCTGAACAGGTTTCAGGGGAGCTTCCAGAATAAGACAGACTAGGAAGAAAAACCTGATAATCTACTTCCAAAAATCAGCTAATGAAAATCCTATGAATCACAACAGTCCTATCTACAACCCATCATGGGGATGGCAAAGGATTGGGCAGCATTTCATTAGGTTGTGCGTGGGGTTTCCATGAGTCAGGGGCAACTCAATGGCAGCTAACAACAACTGGTGCCTAGTAACTGGACTATTATACCCACAGAAACTATCAAAGTTCAAAAAGCTTACAAGATGTAGACCAGACCAAACCCGCTGACGTCAAGTCAATTCCTACTAAAAGCGACCTTATAGGACAGAGTAGAACTGCCCCCACAGGGTTTCCAAGGAACACCTGGTGAATTCAGACCTTTTGGTTAGCAGCCAAACTTTTAACCACTATGCCACCAGGGTTTCCAACAAGGTGTAAAGTAGGTTGGAAATATATGAGTGCAAAGAGGCAGATATTAGGAGAAAATGAAAAAAATAAACAACATACCAAATCCCCCACAGATCTATTTGCCTAGCTGAAAGGCAATGTACAATAAAACAAAGGCTAGGGAGATAGTTATGTGATGCTTAAAAATACTGACATTCAATAATGATTTTATAAAACCCTGAATTGATAGTTGGTGGATCTTTCTTTACAAAAAGTAAAAATGGTTGCAAGTCTCCCAGGAACCAACTTATCATAAATAAAAAGACTAGTTAAAAGGTTTTTGAAAGAAAACACAGCCAGTGATTGATCCGTTTTCTGTCATGTTGTCTACGGTACCCACTCAAGTCATTTATATCTCTGAGAAAAAAACATGAAAAGCTTCAATGCATCTTAAGTTAACTGTAACAGTTTCGTTCTAAAGTTTCTTCCACTACTCAAAACACAGAATTTTAATGTAGTAGTTACAATATAATGACATGGTGAAAAATACCCTGGCTTTTTCAACCATGCTACTAGTTAAAGAAAAAAAAAAAAAAAAAGCCCTGGTGACACAATGGCTAAACACTCAGCTGCTAATCGCAAGGTTGGTGGTTCAAACCCACCCAGTGGCACTGCCGGAGAAAGACCTGGTGATTTGCTCCAGTAAAGATAACAGCCAAGAAAACCCTATGGGGCAGTTCTACTCTGTCTCATGAGGTTGCTATGAGTCTAAATCAACTCGATGGCACCAAACAACAGACACAACTAGTAAACAAAAAATGTAAGCAACACTGACTTGGTAATAGGCTTTCGTAGGAATAGATTTGGGCATAAAATTAATTTTGGATGTAAGGAAAGAAGTTCATATATATGAGCGTATATACATACTGAGTGTATGCCATATGCTAGATGTCTTGTACCCGTTAGCTTGCTTAATTTTATGACAGCCCTAAAGGGCAGAACAAAATAAATAATAAAAATTCGTAAGTAACTCAAATTGTGATATTAACCAACAAATACACCTACTCCTCTCCAAACCTTCCAGATCCTCTTCCATTTAAGCTCCCCTCCCTCTCCATCTTCCCAACTAGTGTCCAGGGAGAGGGTGACAGAGTGAACCAGCCAGGAGACTAGCACTGAGGAGGAAGAGAAGCTACAGCCCTAAAAACTCCTGTCCCCTTCCCTCCAAAATAAGACTCCATCTGCCCCTGAAACAATCGAGAATGCGCCAGCCTAGGAAACTCTATGGGACAGTTCTACTCAATAGTCACATTGAGTTAGAGTGAGAACTGACTCGACGGCATCTAACAACAACAACACAATTGAACGAGATTCACAACTTACTCTTTTCTTTGCACTTAAATACTGATGATTCACAAATTACAGCACAAAAATTGCTAAGGCCCTCAACAACAGAGAACTCAATAGAAGGAGAAAAATCACTTACTCTCCCAGTTTTGCCCAGATAGCCAGCGATACCCTTAGGATGATTTCCGAACCTTCAAAGAAGACTGAATCCCAGATCTTTAAAACTGTGTGATTAGGGAGGCACGTAGCAAAGAGAGTCAGGAACCACTGCATTGTGAAGACATTCGTAAGCGGAGGCTCATATCCACCTGAAATAAAGCAAACACACCAAATTCCTTCAGAATTGATGATCTGCAAGATATACAACTACTCTCTTTCAGTCTTTCATGTCCACCAAAAAATGTTATCTCTGCTAACTGATTTCTTCACATCACTAATATCTGGCTCTTTCCTCCTTTTTCCTTCCCCTTTTCTGTACGAATGGCATGTCTAACTTTAAAAAGAAATTAAAAAGCAATAATAAGAACTTTACAAATTTTTTAAGATATTTGAGAAACTTTAACCTAAAGCTTACTTTGGCTCTACCTATTGTGGGATGCTGGAAATTAAGGAGAATACTTTCTTCACAAATAATAGGAGTTTAAAAAAAAAAAAAAAAGGATTTTAGCCTCTCAAAAGAAAAAGAAAAAAAAAGCAGCTGCCATTGAGTCGAATCTGACTCATGGTGACCTCATGTGTGTCAGAGTAGAACTACACTCCATAGTGTTTTCAATGGCCGTAATCTTTTGGAAGTAGAACACCAGACCTTTCTTCAGAGGCATCTCTGGGTAGATTCGAGCCTCCAACCTTTCAGTTAGTAGCTGAGCTCTTAACCATTTACTCCACCCAGGGATTCCTCTCAGGAGCAAAAGCATCAGATTTTCAAAATCTTATAAAGCCCACTTTTATTTAAATTCTATCGATAAGAAGTGTCACATTATAAATTACTTGTCTACTTCGTAAATTATACAGAGTTTTAAAGATCTGGGATCCAGTCCACTTTGAAGTTTCTGAATTCACTAAAAAATATAACCCCTTCCCACTTCCTACAACAGTATAAGTATGTGCTTTAATGAAATAAAACGCATTTTTAAAAAATTTAGGTACTTAGACTGATTCCCCCTCCAGATTATAGTCAATATGTGCATTTACTCAAGTGTAAGGAAAAAAGATCTGTTCCTCTGCAGTCATTTTCTCCCCCCCTCATCTACGAACAAGGGGAGTATCTTTGTTCAGAGTCTAGAGTCTGAGGTCATTCCTTGTAGCCAAATGCAAGGCAGAGCCGGGGGCAGGGGGATGTCATTTAGCCCAGGCAAGTGTGTCTGACTACTGGATCAGCAAAGTGTGGTCTATTTGGAAGCATGAGGAAGTCCACTCAGGTACACAGTTATACTGCACAGCCAAATTAAATGAAAGGATTGTTCAAATGGCTTAGAAGGTGTTATGGATTGAATCCTGTCCTCCCAAAATATGTGCTGGAATCCTAACCCTTATACCTGTAGAGGAAACCCTGGTGGCAAGTGGTTAAGAGCTACGTCTGCTAACCAAAAAGCTGGCAGTTCAAATCTACCAGGTGCTCCTTGGAAATTCTATGGGGCAGTTCTACTCTGTCATATAGGGTCACTATGAGTCGGAATCGACTCAATGGCAACGGGTTTATACTTGCAGATGTAATTTATACCTGCAGATGTAATCTTATTTAATGCAATGTGATCACCTTCCATAATGCAATCTAATGTAATGTAATTAATCTATCAGTTGAGGTCATGTCAATGCAGGATGGATCCTAAACCGAATCACTTCTGAGTTATACAAAGAGCGGCACAGACACAAAGACATACACATGGGGAAAGACAGATGCCATGTGAGGATTATCTACAAGCCAAGGAACCATGGAATGCCTTGGGCTAATGACAAGGAAAGAACTGACATCGCTGAGGCCCTAATTTGGACTTGTAGCCTCTACAATTGTAAGAAAATAAATTTCTGTAAAGCTGCCCATTTGTGGTATTTGTGTTACAGCAGCACTAGGTAACTAAGACAGAAGGAAATACTTAACAGACACCTAGGTGCTATGAAAAATCTCCGGTGTATTTTAATCACAGGTTAGGTCCTCAAAATCCTTTAATAATTTCCCAGATTTAAATGTGTGGGACAGATTAGACTGCAAATGCATGGCTTACAACAGGAACTCACAACCATTTACAGGAAATGCAACAACTTCTGACTGCTCCTTCTGGCATCCTGAGCACAGCCTGGAAAGTGCAATCAGTGGGTGTAATAACGACTACTAACTCAGGTACTCCTGAAAGCTGGATAATGCCCACAAGACAGTGGTGACTCTCAGAACTGCTGCTGGAACCATCTCCATTACTGCCCCACTCTAGTGCCTTCCTTCAGTGGTTCAGATTCTACCTGGAGGTCAAGAAGAGCCTTTCTCCAGAAAGAACTGGCCAATTCATCTCAGTTAAATCTAAACACTCTTAACATGAATAAAAGGAACATTAAACATTTCAATCCACAGGGCTGCTTTTAGCTCTAACATTTTATGAAAATGCCACTCCCCCTTAACCTCGATGGTTCCAGCAAAGCCACCGTTTGTGCTAAATTGTACCTATAGCTCAGTTTTCAAGAACTACTATGGATTTGGTGCCAGCTTGGCACAGTTTAACTAGACACTATCCATATAAAAAACAAACAAAAAAAAAAAACCTGTTGTTGTCGAGCCAATTCTGACTCATAGCGACCCTACAGGACACAGTAGAAACTGCCCCATAGGGTTTCCAAGGAGTGGCTAGTGGATTCGAACTGCTGATTTTTTGGTTAACAGCCGAGCTCTTAACCACTGGGCCACCAGGGCTCTAACCAGATACTAAGACTTATTAAATGTATACCCTTCTTCATCGAGAGTGCAGTACATAATTTTAGCTGTTGATCTGGTATGGTTAAAGTACTAGGCTCCCAATCGACTTCCTAGCCACAACCAGTTAAAAGTTCAACATGTGGTCCTATGTTTTTTCAGTTTTGTTTTTGTTCTCTTTATATAAATATAATTATTTCTTTTTTTTTAAATAATTTTTTTATTGTACTTTAGATGAAGGTTTACAGAACAAATAGTTTCTCATTAAACCGTCAGTACACATATTGTTTTATGACAATGGTTAACAACCCCATGACATGTCAACACTGTCCCTTCTCGACCTTGGGTTCCCTATTACCAGCTTTCCTGTCCCCTCCTGCTTTCTAGTCCTTGTCCCTGGACTGTTGTGCCCCATTAGTCTCATCTTTTTTCCCCCTTTTGTTTTTTTATTGTACTTTAAATGAAGGTTTACAGAACAAACAGCTTCTCATTAAACAGTTAGTACACATATTGTTTTATGACAATGGTTAACAACTTCACCACATGTCAACCCTGTCCCTTCTCAACCTTGGGTTCCCTATTACCAGTCTTCCTGTCCCCTCCTGCCTTCTAGTCCTTGTCCCTGGACTGTTGTGCCCCATTAGTCTCATTTTATTTTATGGGGCTGTCTAATCTTTGGCTGAAGGGTGAGCCTCGGGAGTGACTTCATTACTGAACTAAAAGGATGTCCAGGGGCCATACTCTCAGGGTTTCTCCAGTCTCTGTCAGGCCAGTAAGTCTGGTCTTTTTTTTTGTGAGTTAGAATTTTGTTCTACATTTTTCTCCAGCTCTGTCTGGGACCCTCTGTTGTGATCCCTGTCAGAGCAGTCAGTGGTGGTAGTCGGGCACCATCTAGTTGTACTGGACTCAATCTGGTGCAGGCCATGGTAGTTGTGGTCTATTAGTCTTTTGGACTAATCTTTTCCTTGTAGCTTGTTTTCTTCATTCTCCCTTGCTCCCAAAGGGGTGAGACCAGCAGAGTATCTCAGATGGCCACTCACAGGCTTTTAAGACTCCAGATGCTACTCACCAAGGTAGAATGTAGAACATTTTCTTTATAAACTGTGTTATGCCAATTGAGCTAGACATTCCCCGAGACCATGGTCCCCACAGCCCTCCGCCCAGCAATTCAGTCCCTCAGGGAGTTTGGACGTGTCCATGGAGCTTCCATGACCTTTCCTTGTACAAGTTGTGCTGGCTTCCCCAGTACTGTGTACTGTCTTACCCTTCACCAAAGTTACCACTTATCTATTGTCTATTTAGTAATAAATCTAATTATTTCATTGTGCCAAATGCTCAATGCTCACCAACAGAAATACCTGGAGAATGTATTTCCAGTCAAGGTTAAGGCAAATGCACTGTGGAACTGAAGAAGCAAAACATTTTCAAAGGTATAACAGCATTGAATCACTACCTCCACTTTCTCTGTTCGCAGTTCTTTGAAGAGTATCCAAGTGCTGAGATAATTCAGGGAGATTCATTCTCAAGAGGTCTCTGAAGACAGCCATATCCACAGACAACGCCCGGAGATTATTGACAAAATAGCTTTCAGGAAGAACCTTATCAATAAGGTAAATCATAATCTGAAGAAAAAGATAAAGAACAAAACTGCTTCAGTAGACTGGGATCCTAACAATAGAAAGAACGTATTCCAGCTGACAATGCGCAGTTAGCCAAAGCACACTATCTTTTAAACGTGTCAGTACGAAATGTTCCCAATTTTCAAGGCTCATCAACACCCTGGGTAAGTAGCAGGCAGCATAATTATCTAAGTAATTCATACCTGTCTTAGTTATCTAGTGCTGCTATAACAGAAATACCACAAGTGGATGGTTTTAACGAAGAGAAGTTTATTTCCTCACAGTCAAGTAGGCTAAAAAAGTCCAAATTCAGGGCGTCAGCTCCAGGGGAAGGCTTTTTCCCTGTCGGCCTTCTTCTCTTCAGTGTTCCCCAGGACTGGGAGATTGTCTGCTCAAGGACCCCAGTCGAAACCACGCGCTCTGCTCCCAGCACTGCTTTCTTGATGGTATGAGGTCCCCCTGTCTCACTGCTCACCTCTGTCTTTTATATCTCAAGAGATTGCCTCAGGACACAATCCAGTCGTGTAAACTGAGTCCTGCCTCACCAACATAACTGCCACCCATCCTCCCTCATTAACATCATAGAGGCAGGATTTACCACACATGGGAAAATCACACAATACCGGGAATCATGGCCCAGCCAAACTGATACACACATTTCTGGGGGGACATAACTCAATCCATGACAATACCCAAAGTCTGCTGCTGTCTGAAATAGCTAGATGGGCCGCTAGACCTGAGTTTACCCCACAATTAGCTGTGATTATACAACCTTTGGCCTCACTCTGAGGGGTGACAGAGTACACCTTCATCAGCAGCCAGCGGGAGCCTCCATATTGGCTCCTTGATGTCAGCACGGTTTTACAGTCTTCATCTGAAAACCAAGAGCTGGCCTGTCATAAAGCGCCCCCATTGAAGCAGGTCTCGAGATTCATTTACCATTAACCTGGGTTATCAGGGCAGCTGAACCTGGCCTTTTGTCTACTTTTCTCTCTTGGGTGAATGCAACAGGTTTTGTTTGAACAACTAGTGCTTTCTAAATCCTTTTTTAATCTGGATTTCTTTCATAAGACTGTCAACACAAGTTGACATAAATTGTCAACACAACTACACAAGTTTCTCAAATTAATATTTTTATCTTGTTTTTTTTATTTGTAACCTTTTCTAGAATGTCAAGAAGCACTAGTATAACTCATCAAAATGCACATGAGTCCTGTATATCTGGTCCTTCCCCTGTCAGCTTGCATGCTCTACATATGTCCTACTCGCTATATGACCCTCTCATTCCCTGCAGCACACGTAAAACAAAATTAAAAACAAAATCATGGCTGGCCCTGTATGTTGGTAGAAAAGTAGCTGTGTCACATTTTTATTTTCAGGATACTGAAAACCCTAATTTTCTTTTCTTATTGTTGTGCTTTAAGTGAAAGTTTACAATCCAAGTTAGTCTCTCATACAAAAATTTATATATACATTGTTATGTGACCTTAGTTGCTCTCCCTATACTGTGACAGCACACTCTTCCTTTCCATCCCAGATTTCCTGTGTCCACTCAACCAGTTCCTGACCCTCTCTGCCTTCTCATCTCACCTCTGGACAGGAGCTGCCCATTTAGTCTCATGTATCTACTTAAGCTAAGAAGTACACTCTTCATGAGTATCATTTTATGTCCCATAGTCCAGTTTAATCTTTGCCTCGGGAATGGTTTTAGTTTTGGGCTAACAGAGAGTCCAGGGGCCATGTCTTCCAGGGTCCCTCCAGTCTCAAGCAAACCATTAAGTCTGGTCTTTTCACTAGAATTTGAGTTCTGCACCCTACTTTTCTCCTGCTCCGGCAGGGACTCTCCGTTGTGTTCCGTGTCAGGGCGGTCATTGTGGTAGCAGGGCACCATCTAGTTCTTCTGGTCTCAGGCTGATGAAGTCCCGGTTAATAAAACCCCCATTTAAAAAAAAAAAAAATTATTTCCCAGCCTTGCCAAGAGACCATTTTCTTCTCATCCCCAGCCTATTATTTTACCATTAGGGCCATACTTTAGAATAAGTCAAAAGGGCAGGAGCATAATCTCCAGAAGGCCCCTGGAAGGCCTCTGTTACAGGGGTGGACAAAACCAGGGAGCCTCCTTAGTCTTCTGTTAGGATGGAATTTACTGCGTAAACGTATCATCACCTTGGAAACAAAAGCTCAGGTATAAGAAAAGAAGTATATTCAGTCTGTGTGGAGGGTGAAGTCCTGGAGAGGTCAGATCAATGAGGGAGAGAACAGATTCCCAGCAGAGCACAGTGCCCTGGTGGTCCCCCAGCACTCTGCGGGGCCAGGAGAAGGGGAATTTACAAGATTATGAAGGCAAAATTTACAGTCACAGTGCTTCTATATTGCACCTTTTATCTAAGGATAAGTTATATAGTACTAAGAAAGATATTTAAGTTTTTATGAAAAAAATTATCATCCCTCAAAATCACATGAAAACAAGAAAAACAAAAACTTTCTTCCCAATTATCGTAGTAATTCTTGTGACACAATAAAATTCTCTTTCTGACGGTCTGACTTAAGACATAAGAGCCGAGTCACCACTCTACCTACAGTTGAAAAAATAAATTAAGATAATTAATGTAATAAGAGGGCTTCAAATTTTTTAATAACTAGTTAAAAACAAAAGTTACTAAGAAAAAACCGTGAGTGCTGAAAAATATCTTACCTGTTCCTAATAAACAATATTACCTCCCTAGTAATTACAACTTGCAGAAGCTAAAAAAGCTACTGGAAAAACACTGACATTCCATTTTTTCCTTTGCATCAGAAGTGTTTCTTCATGAACTCAACTTTTCTTGCATATTGAATGTCTAACGACAAGATCTACAGATTCCTAAATGCTGATGATGGCATCTCATCCCACGGGGCTCATTTTCTTATGGGCAGAAATATAAATATTCAGTTTCTTGGCTTTATCTAATTCATCTTTTTATGTGAATTCCTAGTTTTCAAGTATTCACTGAGCCCTTTCATGACTTGATTGGCATGTATCTCTCCTTCCTCAGACCTCGCCCCCACCCGGCCGCCCTTAACCTTAGTCTCTTATTCAAACTTTTCAACAGAAAAGTTCTCATTTCATAGTCATCCAAATTACATCTGCAATAAAATAAATGACTAAAGCTAATAGACTCAGGAAACAAAATTGCTTCTTAATAGAAGGTATTTTAAAGTAATATATTTAATCTGTCATTTCCTTTTTTTTTTTTTTCCATTTGATGAATACATGACTGGAAAAAGTGAGGGTTTGAATCCAGATTTAGATCATGTTAGGCTGCAATTATAATTAATTCCACCAGAATGTGTATAAAACCAGGAGGAACATTTGTTTATTTTTCCATATCACATTAGTTAGCAATTGAGAATATCACTAGGGTAATCACCATAGTCAAACACAAATCAACCCCCCCCCATTCCTGCTCAAATACAAAGCCTAAGTATTCATTTCATACATCACAAAGCACTGCAATCAACTGCAGTTCCAAGGTTCAAATATGAGTCAGTAACCTCACAGTGCCCTAAGCAAACAAGGCAGTGGCCATCCTCCACATGTGAAATGCTTTAATTTTCACAAAGACTAGATTTCTGGTGACTCACTGACTCACATTCAGACCAGTAAGTTTAAATTGCTAATGTCCCATTTCCAAGTGTTTCCAGATTTTTATTTTATTTTTTAATAATAAAGGTCCTGGACTTCAAAGATTAAAAAGATAAAGATAATTCATTACTATAACCTTTCTCCAGAGCCCTGGTGGCACACTGGTTAAACGCTGGGCTACTAACCAAAAAGGTCAGCAGTTTGAATCCACCAGCCGCTCCTTGGAAACCCAATGGGGCAGTTCTCTGTCCTATAGGGTCGCTATGAGTCGGAATCGACTCGATGGCAACAGGTTTTGGTTAACCCTTCTCCATGCAAACACCTTCCATCATAAACACTCCCTCTAAGCCCACCTCCTCCATACCCTGGCCCAAATATGAAAGAGTAAAGCACCCCAACAAGATGCAACCAAAATCAACATGACTGGTGTGGAAGGCAGTTTTTAAGATGGCCCTCAATGTCCCCATCTCCTGGTAGCTCATTCCCTCGAGCATGAGCTGGACCTGGTGACTTGCTTCTAATGAATAGAATACAGCAAAAATGATGGGATGTCACTTCCAATATTAGGTTAAAAATCTGTAACTTAATCTCTTCTGCCTTGCGCACTCTCTTATACTCTCTTGCTCACTCTGAGGGAAGAAAGCCACCCTGTTGTGAGATGGAAAGGCTCAAGTGGCAAGGAAATAAGGGCAGCCTCCAACCAACAGCCAGCAAGGAACTGAATCTTGCCAAGAACCACGTGAATAAACTTGACAGCAAGTACTCCCTCCAATTAAGCCTTCAAATGAAACTGCAGCCCTGGCCAACAGTTTGAATGCAGCCTCCTGAGAGCCTTGAGCCAGAAGCACCCAGCTAAGTCATGCCCAGATTCTTGCCTCAAAGAAACTGTGAGATAATAAAGGTTTGCTGTTTTAAGCAGCTAATTTGTTACACAGTGATGGATATCTAATACGATTGGTATTTAAGTTGCTTTAAAAATATGTCTTATAAGTGAGACTGAAAACATAATCATTCTCCTCACATCTGGCAGCTATAGAAGTCATTTAGCCTCGCTTTAACCTGGAGGAAACATTATCATGGGTAGCTGCAAAGGTGTGGCACAAACCATGGAAGGGGTGAGGCATAAAGGAAGAGAAATTCTAATTTCAATTCTTCACTGTGGTAGAATTTCAGTTGCCCTCTTCAGAGCCTGATACTCACTTTCAGCGCATCACCTTCATTGCCTTCCATCACTTCCAGAATTAGTGCAGCCAGGATGTTAAAGCCTTGGCAGTACCCAACATTCTTGTTCCATCGGGCATAGGCCAGAAGGACTCGCTTCAAGACAACTCTGTCTTGCTCAGCCTCCTGGCCACAGTAAGAACTACAGCCTGTGCGGTGAAGATCCTAAAATGGGAGGAAAGCAATTTAATATTTTTGAAAATAACTTCTTATATCCCCCTCAAAATATTTTTTTACATGAATAATCCAGTGATATTTATTACAATCTTCAGTTGTACAACCATTGTCACTATCCTTTTCCAGTTTATTCCACCACCTTTAACATAAACTCAGTGCCCCCTGAACAGTAACTCCCCCTTTCCCCTTCCCTCCCACCCTGGTAACCACTAATAATCTTTGGTTTCTATATATTTGCCGATTTCATATGAGTGAGATCATACAGTACTTGTCCTTTTGTGACTGACATCTCCTCAGCATACATAATATTTTCAAGGTTTATCCATGTTGTGGCATGCATCAGGACTTCATTTAGTTATTTCTTTGCCTCACCATTAAGTAGAGTCCAATTAGCAACATGGGTTTTAATTTTTAAAATGTATATGTGCTTATTACATGCATGGGCCAATACAATACGTTTAGTTTTTGTTTTGCTTTAATGTATTCTAACATGATGTGTAAACAGCATTTGCAAGGAGAAGTTTAGTCAGGCAAATTTTCTACTTAAAGTGTTTCCAGAGTTAACACAAAATGTGTCTCAGAATTAAGCAAAATTACATTATAATTTCATATAAACTGACAGTTTATTCAATAATATGCTTCATATATATATGATAGATTCTACCATTATTCCTTTCCACAAAACATAGTATAATATTTAGCTATCAAAACTCCAAAAAATATTAAAAAGAAAATCAAAATAGCAAAAAATGCAGCCGTATCATAGATCCCAAGACAGAAAAATCACTCTATCCAAATTGTTTTATAAATTTGTGGAAGAAGGACAGAAACATTTACTGCACTTTAATATTTAAAGAAGGCAGTATCTGTAATTCAGTTACCAAGCAGAGACTGATTTTCAGAAGCTGAAGTCATTTTACTGACACAGCATTCACTTCAAGGAGAAAACAAGAGATCCTCTTAATAATATGATCGTTATAAAATGTGCATTATCTTAATTCTCAAGGTAAACAGAAAAAGAATTTTCAAATATGAAATACCTCATCTCTGTGACACATTCTGAAATCTCAAATAAATAACTGAAATGTGGATGATGAAAGGCTTTTCAACTACACAATGTAAATTCCATAATTTTTTTTTTTTTTTTTTTAGCATTTGTGTGAAACAGATCAAATTAGACCAGAAAGTAGCTCATTTTAGTTTGTACTTCCTCTTGAAAAAAAAAAAAAAAATCTTCAAGTATGCCAAAACACTGGCTAATCTTCTGGACACCAAAATTTGGATAAAACAACTTTCCTTTTAAAGCCTCAGCTTAGCATCACACTGTAATATACTCACATAAATCAAAAGCCATGTACTAAAGGCTTATGTAAGAGAATAATACTGGGATCAAATGGAATCAGGCTTCTAGCACCAGGTTCTAATCAACTGTAATAATCCAGGTAGGCAAAGCACAGCTGTCTCCACAGCTGGCCTGAATATCAACCATCTGGTTTAAAACAGATCTGCCAGTCAACCTATCTTTATAAATCGACTGTTAAGAAATTATCAAAGAACCTAATAAGAGTCAAATTATTCTAATATGAAATACACTTAACTTTAAATTTCTCAGTGACTTTTATGTAAAAATCCAGTTGGAAGCACCGTCCCATGCTAAAAAATAAAAAGGAATTTCAATCTCCTATCATCTGAGGAAGGAGCCCTGGTGATGTAGTGGTTAAGAGCAGTTTGAACTCGCCAGTGGTCCTGAGAGAGAAAGACGTGGCAGTCTGCTTCCATAAAGATTACAGCCTTGGAAACCCAATGGGGCAGTTCTACTCTGAGTCAGAATTGACTCAGTGACAATGGGTTTGGTTTTTTGGGTTTTTTTTCCATCTGAGGAAGATGAATAAATTGAATACAAAGGGAACCTAATTCACAAACACTTTATTCTTACTGGTAACGTTAAAATTTATGAAGACAAGACATAGTCAAGGTTCTCCATAAAAAAGCTATAAACTAATGAAATGAGGAAGTAGAAAATAGACATTCAGACCACAAGATAGAGATCATTCCATCCTCTATCCAAGAAACCTTTGGCTGTTAGAGTCTTTCTTCTAAGTTAGCTAAGTTAGGACAACAAACCAAGTCAGGGACATTACCTTGACTATCTGAATTCCCATCGAGTCATCATCAGGATTGCTCCTTTCATTGAACGTGAAGCGCATGGTTTTGTCCCAATCAATGGCTATACTGTGCAAATAATGATCTGCCAAGGTCAACCAAACCTAAAATATTACATAAAGAAGAATGCTAAAATAGAATACACAATTTCACCTTTCTTATTGGAAAGTAGTTACTGCTTCCATTAAGAAAATGGCAACTGTTCCTACAGCAGATACAGCCCACATGTAGACATCTACAAGAGGCCTGTTGAAATGTTTGCCGTACTTGAACTGTACCATTTAGAGACTTTTATTTATTTGTTTAATAAATATTGCTTGAGCTCTTATATGCCAAGCAGTAATCCAGGCATTGAGGATACTGCTAAGAAAACAATTGTTTTTAAAATTTTATTTCAGTTCATTGAGTTACCTTTATTATCTTATAAGCTTTTTTACTTGGCTCTGAATTGTTCTCTATGAACAACTGAGCAAGAGCCACCTGGGCATTCACAAAGAAGGAGTCTTTTTCACCAAGGAGTAGCCTCTCCTTTTAAATCATCCCTGTCTCACGTCTGTTGCCATCAAGTCAATTCCAACTCATATCGATCCTACAGGACAGAGTAGAACTGCCCCATAGGGTTTCCAAGGCTATAATCTTTACAGAAGCAGACTGCCCCATCGTCTTCCAAGGAGTGATTGGTGGGTTCAAACCGCCAGTCTTTAGGTTAGCAGCCCAGAGCTTAACCACTAGAGCCCTGGTGGCGCAGTGGTTAGGCAGCTCAGCTGCTAACGAAAAGTTCAGCAGTTCGAACCCACCAGCTGCTCCACAGAAGAAAGACGTGGCTATCTGCTTCCATAAAGATTACAGCCTAGGAAACCCTATGGAGCAGTTCTACTCTGTCCTATAGGCTCACTAGGAGTCAGAATCAACCTGACAGCACACAACAACTGTCTCACACAAAAAAGTGACAAACGGGCTCCCACAATGGGTAATTTAAAAAAAAAAAAAATGTCATCAGCTATTTTTACTCTTTTGATTACCTTACCCTGAAAAGCTGTCTCAGAAAGATTGATTTCATAATGCTATTTTTTTTATTGTTGTAGTTTAAGTGAAAGTTTACAATTCAAGTTAGTCTCTCATACAAAAATTTATACATACATTGTCAAGTGACCCTAATTGCTCTCCCTATATTGTGACAGCACACTCTTCCTTTCCACCCGATTTCTCATGTCCATTCAACCAGCTCCTAACCCTCTCTGCCTTCTCATCTTACCTCTGGACAGAAGCTGCCCATTTAGCTTCATGTATCTACTTGAGCTGAGAAGCACACTCTTCACCGGTATCATTTTATGTCCCACAGTCCAGTCCAATCTTTGTCTGAAGAATTGGCTTCAGGAATTGTTTTAGTGCTGGGTTGACAGAGAGTCTGGGGGCCATGCTTTCTGGGGTTCCTCCAGTCTCAGTCAGACCATTAAGTCTGGTCTTTTTACTAGAATTTGAGTTCTGCACCCCACATTTCTCCTGCTCCATCAGCGACTCTTTACTGTGTTCCCTGTCAGGGCGGTCATTGGTGGTAGCCAGGCACCATCTAGTTCTTCTGGTCTCAGGATGATGCAGTCTCTTGCTTACATGTCCCTTTGTGTCTCTTGGGCTACATAATGCTATTTTTTGAAGTGTATATTTTGAGGAACTCCTAATGTTCAAATTCTAGGAGTTTTAAGAGTAGGTTTATAAATTAATACTCTAAGAGAGCATTTCAAGTTTTGAAATTTGAATATAGTTTATCAGGAATAAGACTGATTAATGTCTCCAGCTAGACCTCTCTCCTAAGCATCAGAATCATATGTCCAATGCTTGTCCAAACACCTTCAGCTTAGATATCTAAAAGGCATCTCAACCTTAACAGATCCAAAACCAATCTCCTACTCTACCTCCTTCCAAGTGTACATACATACATACATACACACACACCTGCTTCTCCCATCTGAGTAAATAGTAAATCTACCTTTCCAGTTGCTCTGGCCAAATCTTGATGTCATCCTTGACATTCCTCTTACATCTCATATTCAATTCAACAGGAATTTGTGTCCACTCAGCCTTCAAAATACATCTAGAATCTGAGCCCTTCTCTCCACCTCCACTCCCACCACCCTGATCCAAGTCATCAACACCTCATGTCTGAATTATTGCAAGTCTCCTACTAGTCTCTCTGCTTCTGCCCTTGCTCCTCTACAGTCTATTCTCAAGTCACTAGCCAGAGCAGTTCATTTAAAATATAAGTCAGATCATGTCACTCCTCTGCTCCAAATTTTCCAATGTTTCCCATCTCACACTGGGCAAAAGCCCAAGTCCTACTATGTCCTTCAAGGTCCCACATGATCTGCCATCCCCCTACACCACCACCACCACCAATACATTATCTCTACAACCCTGTCTCCTAGTGCTCTCACCACCCTGGCCTATTGTTTTTGCTTGAATCCTCCTGAGATGCTCCCACCATAGGCTTTTGCACTGGCTGATCCCCCGTCTGGAATGCTCTTCCCCCAAGTACCTGTATGGCTCACTCTTCACCTCCTTCAGAGACCTACTCAAATGTCACCTCCTCAGTGAGGTCTCCCCTCACCTTACCTATTTTAAATTCCATCTCCCTACTTCCATCCTCCTGTACTCTCCTTATCTCTTTCCCTGCTTTATTTTTATCCATATAACTTATCACTATCTGACATACTTTATATTTTATTCATTGTAAACTCCACAAAGGTACAAACTTCTGTCTGTTTTAATTTTTTCCTACTGCTATATCCTCAGTACCTAGAACAGTGCCAGGCATAGACAATCAATAAATACTTAGTGAATGAATGAATGAATAATGAAAAGAAACAAGTTTCAAATTACTAAATCTAGAATATTCTTTTTGACATTCCAGACACTTCAAAGAGAGAAAGAGTGTTGGTCCTTTTGTATCTTAGCCCTATGAATCCTCCTTACCTTTCTCCTCCATTCCTTTGGTATTCCTGTTGATAGTCTGGCAACTGCTTTGAGAGCATCATACCACTAGGAACAAAGCAGAAATATTGGGGAAGTGAGAATGTTGACCTAGATAAATGATTTTCAAACTTTTTCCCATCTTGGCACCCACAGAGTATGATAAAATTTGTACAGTACACTGGGGTAAATAGTCAAATTTTCTCCCAGCCAGATGGGATTGGTCTGGAGGCTATGACTGCCCCATGACCTACCCCTCAGGCACCCTTAACACACCTGTGACTCATCTGAAGCACACACACATTGGTTGGGAAGCTCTGGTATACAAAATAAAACACGTATTATGGGTTCAGAATAACAGACATTTGGGTTATGTTTTTCACACTGACCATTAAAAGAAAGTGCGAAAATTTTGCTGTGTATATTCTCAACAACAACAAAAGAAAAAAAAAATAAAGTGTAAAAGCTTTCATTGCAACTATAAACCCAGGCTATGTGTAGCTTTATAAGTTATTTTACCTATAATTTTAAAAACTAACTCATTTTCTTATGCATGTCTAAGTATATGTTAATATTCCTTCTTTGAAAATATATTTCAATGTATCCTGTAGATGTTCCAGAATGAAAATGTGTTCAAAACCAAAAATAAAATTACCTGCTGAAAACCATTTTGACCTAAAGATGGCTCAAGAGTAAACTTCAACTTTGTGTCAACTCCTAAAAGAAAAATACATAAATACCTGTTATTTTTGGAGACAGTGACAAGTTATATAAAAAATAAAAGTAAAGATTAACCTGATTCTTCTGAATTAACATAAATTCCCTTAAAACAAGTGTTTTTAAAGTGCAGAGCAGTGAAGCAATGGCCACAACAATGCCTCCAGTCCCAGTGTGTCATTTAAGTAAGAATATAGATTATTAAAGTAGAAAAATACCATACATCTATTAAAAAGGAACCTATCACTTAGGATTGTGGTTTCCACAGATGCCTGGAATAGTGGAAACACAAAAGCAAAAATGATACTACAGATTTTGGAGTCACAAAGACCTCCACTCAACGTTGATTCCTAGACTCAGACCAAAAGTCTAGGGACTTTATCGGTAAAGAATTTCACATTTGTTTATCTTTAATTAAGATGAGGACAATAACACCTCAGAAGACTGTTGTGATAATTAACTCAGTACTGTAAATCACCTAGCATGGTAGACTTAATATCTGTGAAACTTAGAATACTTAGAGAATTTGTTTTTCTAGGCTACTTATATGGAATAAGTCTATTAAGGAACCTTAAGTAGAATATCAAAAGTTATAAAAACTGTATTATTGTCTTCCGTCTTATGGAATAACCCATTATAACAATTCCATTTGGAGATTTTCACATTTTAAAATTTTGTCTTGATACCCTTATTCATTAAAAATAAGGCAATGTGTGTGTTTCATTACAGATTATAAACCAAAAATAGAACTGGACTCTAATTCCAAGTAATCTGCAACTTTAGATAAATTTCCTTGACTCCACCCAAATCTATGGAATAGAAGTAAATAAACGGGAGAAGATATACAGGCTATATACTTAATACTGATATTGGGCTTTTACTAAGTAGAATTCCCTATTAAAAGTATGTACTGCTATTATTGAAGTGAAATTACATGACACAATTTTTATTCCTCTTACCCATACCTGTTGCCATTGAGTCAATTATCTATTATTTTTCTACAATTTCAAAATCAATGAAATAATATTCTTTAAATTACATTTTAAAGGCTATTACTTAAAAGTTCAAAGACCAAGAAATGTCAAACTTTAACAATAGCAAATTAGTTTTACAAATCACAAAAGTCAAAAATGATATTTGCTTCTAAGATGCTGACTGCAGAGTCGGCATACTAAGAACCTCTCCACAACTTCCCCTCCTTAGGTATGTGGATAAGAACAATCTTAAGAATTTGAATAATAATAATGTAGGCATATATACGGAGTCAAGAGGCTGGAAAGAGATGTTTCTGATTTGCCCAGTCCATGACAGTATGCAGATGCCTCGGAGCCCTGAAAGAGTGCTGTGAATAAATGAGTTGGGTCCTCGATGTCTAAGGTCAAGCTGTGGTAAAGAACCACAGGTATCCAGTCAATGCCTTGGTTATTTCTTTTCAAAGCTTCAGGGCCAAAACCATACTCTGCCAGGATAGATAAGATTTTCTTCTCCAAAGGTATATTAAATACCCCGCAGATTCTCCTCTCTCTGGGTTAGTTTAAATGCAGTCCTGCCCCAATGTAGAGCGGTGGTGATACAATAGCCACAAGAGTGCCTCCAGCCCCAAACAGTGATTTAAGGCACGATGAAACAGACCTGGTTGTGAGACTGCTGTCCAGGCACGAGGTGCTGAAACGGCTTATAGTCATGACGTTTGCTTTTTTATAACAAAGACCCGGAAATTCAGTCTCCACTGACCTTATTCCTACCACCCTAGAAATCCCAGATTCCCTGTATGTGTGAGCAAATAAGCTCCCTTGACTTTTTCAGAGCACCTACTGGGTGTCTTGCCGATCGCCTTCCTGTGCTGAAACTGGGCTGGGCGTAGTCAAAGCCACAACTGTTTTCTCATGACCAAATTGAGTAAGAGGGTTTAACTAGAACTGATCATTCACCAACTGCAGCAAGAGCTGAAATCGGGTCATTTTCACCCCTTTTCTTCTAGCTGAATAAGGAGGAGAGGAGAAGGTTTATGTTTCATCTGATAATCACTACTGTTCCAGACTCAGAAATACAAAACACTTTTAACGTGGGAAGGAGATTTAGAGAGAGAAAGGTAAAGGAAGACAGTGAATAAATACTATTCTCTGCAACTAGACACTTCCTTAGGGAGAAAAACAAAGAAACCACGAGGTTCAGAAAGACAGCGACGCATTCCACCCTTGGGGACTCGGTGCCATGGCTGATTTTCCCCAGCAGCTCCAGGATAGTTAAGTCCCCGAAGACACTGAGGGTGGGGGAGGAAGGTGGGATAACGAATCCGCCGGGAGTCCAATTGGTGCCACTCCGGGGACAGGTGAGCGCAAAGCACCGGTGCGTGTACAACTGGCTCCCTCTGCGGCCACCCCTTCCCAAGAACCTCCGTGCCTAGGCACCCGTGCCAGGGCCGGGCTCTTAAAACCCCGGGGAGAGATGCCAGGTGGTGGAGCTGAAGCAGAGTTATGTAGCCTGGAGAAGCAGGAATAAGTGAGCACATGCTGAAAGCAGAAAGGGCCTAGCTTAACAGGAGTGGGCACGCTCCCAGATCTTCCCCCATTGAAGGGATCGCCAGTCGGCAGAAGTGTTTCCCGCTTCTCCCAACCCGGACACACAATTAGATGAGCAGACCCCGGCCTTCCCCTCCTATCCCTAGTACCAAACCTGTGCCTGAAAGGTTCACTTTCCCCGCCCCACACATCTCTTTCAAGATCTGGCTTCTCGAGCCCGGAGCACAATAGGTGGCGAGGCCTCCGGTGCCCAGGGCGCCCGCCCGCACTTCCCAACGCTTGGAAAAGGCCGAGAGCTCAGTGGGCCAGCAGGCTGGGGCACATGCAGGGCCGAACCCGCGCACGGATGGGGGCTCCCTGCGAGCAGCTGACGGAAGCAGCCCGTCTTCGGAGCCCCCACCCAGGCAGATCCAGCCTCGCCAGCGCCAAGCCGCGGTGCAGCGGTGCCCCGGTGCCCCGTTCGGAGCAGCCGACAAGTGCTCCCTGGCCAAGGCGGTGTTCAACCGAGGCAGAGCCGAAAGCAGCACCAGCTCGGGGGCCGCCACGCTACTTTCAGCTGCCCCATCTGTAGCACTGGGGTCCTCACCCGGCTCCAGGGTGCAGAGCAGCCGGGGCGCGGTCCGGGAAATGCAGCTGCGCTTCTTGAGCACATTGCTCAGGATGGTGCCCACGCCACCGCCACTGCCGCTGTGCCGCTTCAGGCATCTCCCCCCGCGCCTCAGGGAGCCGGTCAGCTTGTCCTGCCGCATCCGAAAGCACCCTGGGCTCCGGCGCGGCCACTATCGGCCTCGGTCCCTGCTGCACAGCGGGCAGCACGGCTTCACGCACCGGGGGTCTGTATGTCGGCCCAGGCAGGGGTCCCTCTAGTGGAGCGAGAGCCTGCGGCGGGCGCTAGGGGGGTCAAGAGGAGCTGCGGGGCACCGCGGGAGCCGCAGAGCGCAGGGAGGTCGACGGGCATCTGCAGTGCGGAGCCTGCACAGCTGAGGCAGGAGAGGGTTTGGTGCGGGGAGGGCAGGCGGGAGCCAGCGAGCGCCGAATACGGAGGCGGCGCTCCCGCCCCCAATCCCGGCATCACCGTGCGCAGGCGGGGCGGCCCTAGCTCCCGCGCGCGCCCCGCCCGGCTCCCAGCACCTGTGCCGGGAGCCGCGAAGCAGGGGATTCGGCGGGTGAGCAACCGCGCCTGACGACTAGAAGCAGCGGCAGAGATAACCAGCTTCTCCGAAGATCAGAGAGGGGCTGGAGAGGGAGGAGCAAGTCTCAAGGTGGAATGTGCAGAACAGCGAGATGCGAGTGCCCACCGCACCGCCACAAGCAGCCTCGGAAGGGTCAGTCAGCGGCTGCAGGGCCAGTCCGCCACGAGGCCTATAAACTGGCAAATGGTGAAGCACAAGCTTCATCCCAAATTGCCTTAAACTCTTTCCAGCTTAGAGTAGAAAGGCCTGAAAAGCATGTGAAAAAAAATGGTTGTCTGTCTTGGAAGAATAGGCTTCAAGAAAAAAAGAAAATTGTTCCCATTTAAAAGCAGTTTAAAAAAAAGTTTCATCTCTCCAGCCAGAGACTTCAGTAATTCAAAACTATTAGCCATCACTACTGTAAAAAAAAAAGAAAATCACTCTTAAACTGTGATATTCGCCCAATGGAACATTAAGCAGCTATAAAAATCAATGAGGAATAGAAAGGAAAGGGTGTGGGGAGAAATATAAAGATATATATACTTCCTAATATTCAGAAAAAGAAACACTGGATGGATAAACCAAAAACTAACAAAAATATTTATGAGAGAAGAAACAGTTTGTAGGAGACAGGTCTGAAAAACAGACTTTTCCGTGTATCCTTTACATAGTTTTGACTTTGGAAAAACATGTTATATTGATAATATTAATAAATAAAAGCAAAAAATCAAACCCTAAAAATTGAAACTGATCTGAAACAAATCAATATAATGGAAAAACCAGTTGATGACATAAGAATGCAGAAAAATCATCATCTCAGGTTGCTCTAGAACACTTTATGACTATACATCCATGGTGGTACATATTCCAATACACATTCTTAGCACTGCAAAGGAATCTTAAAACTTCATTCAGTGATAGTATTGTTATTAATAATATTGGTATTATTGTTTTGAAACTCATATATACTATAGGATAAAGTAAAGTTATGTTAATGTTGAAAGGAACCAAGACGTTACAGTGCAACAGAAAATACAAGTGTATAATGAAAGAAATTAACAGCTTTTTAAATCTTGTATTTCGTATATTTAAATTGGAACTACCAGTATGAATTCATCTTTTTCCTTTTCAAAAATACATATATCTATTAAATAGTTTTAGAAATAAGGCCAACCCATCAGCAACGAACACCCCTGGCACCCAGACTGTGGTCTCTAAAATTCATTCCCTAATAAAAGGAACCAGGGCTCTTTGGAGTAGTGACTGATTCCAGGTCTAGAATTTAAAAAGTACAAGATGAGCCTGA